TAAGCTGCTCCAGGCAGCCCAGCCGTCCGCACTGCGTACACTATTTATATACACTATCTCTTTGTACGCGTGGACATGTGTACTGGCCGCCTGTTTTATCTTTGGCAATGCCTCTGGGTGTACGGGAGTGCGCTCTCGCGCCACATGTGTGATGTGAGGGACCGCGTGCTTTCTAGTGACACGTGACACGTGCCGCTCACTGTCACCCACGCCATTCCCCCCCCCCCACCTCTCCCCCACCTCTCCGCTCCCTCCCTCCTCCCGTGCTGTGATCCCTGGGTAACGGTGCTACTTATTGGCTCTGACAGCTGATGGAGGCGGCAGCATGTGTTTCTGCAAGGTCACCTCTCCCTCCATCCCGCCACTCGTTGCTAAAGCCGCCTCCACCCCCCCCCCGGTCCTCTTCGACTCTCACCCCCCTCTCACCCCCCTCTCACCCCCCATCCTCTATCCGCTGGCTCCCAACCACCGTGTCCTTCTCTCCATGTACATTTAAACGCAGTCCCCTTTATCCAGCGTTCTTCCAATGTTACCGCCGCTTCCACGAAAGCGGAATTACGGGGGGGGGGGGGGGGGGGGGTGGGGGATCCTATTTCAAAAGCATCCCGTTGCTCCTTTCCCCCTTCACCCTTCCCAAAAGTCACGCCGTTATACAGTGAGGGAAAAATAGTATTTGATCCCCTGCTGATTTTGTACGTTTGCCAACTGACAAAGAAATGATCAGTGTATAATTTTAATGGTAGGTTTATTTGAACGGTGAGAGACAGAATAACAACAACAAAATCCAGAAAAACGCATGTCAAAAATGTTATAAATTGATTTGCATTTTAATGAGGGAAATAAGTATTTGACCCCTCTGCAAAACATGACTTAGTACTTGGTGGCAAAACCTTTGTTGGCAATCACAGAGGTCAGACGTTTCTTGTAGTTGGTCACCAGGTTTGCACACATCTCAGGAGGGATTTTGTCCCTCTCCTCTTTGCAGATCTTCTCCCAGTCATTAAGGTTTCGAGGCTGACGTTTGGCAACTCGAACCTTCAGCTCTCCCCACAGATTTTTATGGGATTAAGGTCTGGAGACTGGCTAGGCCACTCCAGGAGCTTAATGTGCTTCTTCTTGAGCCACTCCTTTGTTGCCTTGGCCATGTGTTTTGGGTCATTATGCTGGAATACCCATCCACGACCCATTTTCAATACCCTGGTTGAGGGAAGGAGGTTCTCACCCAAGATTTAACGGTACATGGCCCCGTCCGTCACCCCTTTGATGCGGTGAAGTTGTCCTCTCCCCTTAGCAGAAAAACACCCCCAAAGCATAATGTTTCCACCTCCATGTTTGACGGTGGGGATGGTGTTCTTGGGGCCATAGGCAGCATTCCTCCTCTTCCAAACACGGCGAGGTGAGTTGATGCCAAAGAGCTCCATTTTGGTCCCATCTGACCACAACACTTTCACCCAGTTGACTGAAATCCTACAGCGGGCGCTGCAGGATTTCAGTCCTTCATGGCGTAGTGTGTTACCAATTGTTTTCTTGGTGACTATGGTCCCAGCTGCCTTGAGATCATTGACAAGATCCTCCCGTGTAGTTCTGGGCTGATTCCTCACCGTTCTCATGATCATTGCAACTCCACGAGGTGAGATCTTGCATGGAGCCCCAGGCCGAGGGAGATTGACAGTTCTTTTGATCATTTCTTTGTCAATGGGCAAACGTTACAATATCAGCAGGGGATCAAATACTTTTTTTTCCCTCACTGCAAAACGAAGCGCTCGGCGCAAGGCAAGGGGATTTTCCTTTTGTGCCATCATCGCTCTCGCTGCGCCGTTCCATTGCGATCGTTCGGCACGGCCCCCGCCGCACAGTGGGGGGTCGCCTGGCGCTCCCCACGTCACGCCGCCTCGTGCTGTGTGAAAGTAACACTTCCGCAGATTTAAACAAACAAAAAACTATAACAAAAAAATATTATTTTCATTTTATTACCAGGTAAGTCCCACTGAGCTATGTAACTCTTTTTCAGAAGCGACCTGGCCACAAATAATCGCTCAAAAAGTGGCAGATCATATGGAAATTTATTGCAACCAGATACTATAAACGCGTGATGTTGATTCTAAATGTTTATGGAAAAACCAGAGGATCTGGAGAAAAATCCAAGCCTTCGGGTCGCGATTGAACCCATGACCTCCTTCATACTTGGTCGGGGAAGTTAACATCTCGCCACTTGTGTTTCGTGGGCGAGATCACGTGCCAACCTGTCACCCGCAAACACCTCGCTCTAGGTGGCTCGCCACCAACGCCACCGCCGCCGGCGCCATTGCCCCCGCGGTGGCTGTGCCGTCCGCAAGGAACGAGATGAAATGAAATGCCGCGGCCGTTGCCGTTATTGCCGACACGGCATCGGGCTGTCGTCGCCATGGTTGCCGACGATCGCTCGCAGCACTAATAAATATAGCGGTGAAGCGCAGAGTCAGCCTCGTGTAGGGGGCTCCCACGTGTGTGAAATGAGGGCTCAATCGAGTTTTTCGAGCTGAGCCGTCTGATCACTTAAGTAATTGGTGACTACCGATTACGCGATGGATTACCCGGTTCGTTGGGAGAGCGCGGAAACGTTCGGGGATAAAACATTTTGCCGCTTGGCGCGAGAGCCACTGAACGGGAGGTGTTGGCTGGAGCTCAGTGGCGCCAACCGCGTCACGCCGTGGGGGTGTGGCTTGTCGGGGGGTTTCCCGCCTTCGGGGAGGCCATTTTTAAAAGGTGCCCCGTATACTCGACCATAAAGGGTAGTCGATGAAAATGTTTACGCGATCTAAATCGACCGGAATGTCTCCCACTCGGGACTCGTTTACCCACTCTGTGTATTGTTGCTTCAACGGTTCTGTTTGCCGAGCCGCTACATCCGATGGGAAGAAAGAAGTGTAGGTACCGGGGGCCGACGAGCACCTTCAGGGGCCGCCGCCAGAGTCGTCTGCGTGCGAAATTCTCTCCCTGTGTGTAAAAACCAAAAAAGTGAAAACTCTACGGCTTCACCCAGCGAAAAGCTGCATGCGCAGAACTTTGCGCTGTACGGGAAAAATGGTGGCTGGCGTAGGAGGAGGGCGGTGGCGGATTCATCGAATACCCGCGCCCTGGCCCCCGACCCACCGGGTCCCCCTTCAGCTTGCCTTGCCCCACCGAATATCGGCGTGGCGAAGGCGGGAAAGCGGCACGCGCTGCTGCTAAGACGAAGCTTTTTATCAGTGCAAGTGGCAGGAGCGTTCATCTGTGACGCGTTATCGGCCGCGGCTGAAAGAATCCAGATAAAATGGGGAAGGAGCGCCGCGGTGCGTTCCGCACGCCCGCGAGTGACGCTCAAGTCCCAAAAACACCTGGGCTTAATTCCCGCTTGCGCAGAGCTGGGAGTGGTTATTCTGCCCGATCGAAGCTTTGCCGCAGTAGCTAAAAATAAAAAATAACAACCCTGGCCCTTCTCGAAGATAAATTATTTGGCGACTGCTGATGTTGCGTTGGCAGTGGTGCACAAGTAACACACACAAAAAAACGGTCAAAGAGCATTCGTCAATAATAACACTGTGTATGTGTTTTTTGGCCTTAAAATAAAAATGTATCCAGAGATGGGGGGGAACGCTTTGGACAAAGGCCCTTTTTCATAGGGATGTAAAAATGGTCACGGTGTTATTGATGAACGTTGTTGAGTTGTCTTATTCTTGCAGCTGCTCACAGAACTGTATGTTCAGCCTGAGTTAATGTTATGATCGGGAGCTCCGTTGTAGCTCCCTGCTGGCATCATTGTAATGTCGTTTCCACTACGTATGTATGTTGAACTTCTTGTGCACCGTACGTAGCCAACCGTGCTAATCGGAGGTGCAGGGGAAGGACAACAAGCTAAACACAAACCAGCACTAAAGCAATGAGTTTTGAATCGATATTATTTAAAAGTGCATAGCTCTCGTGGCTTCCTAATATCGGAAGGAAGAGTGTTCCAGAGGGCCGCAGAAGCGCATCTGAAAGCATGTGATGCATTGACTGTCTTTATTCGATGGCTAGCCAAAGTCCTCTATATTAACAACAGCACAATGCATTGACATCACTCAAGTGCTCTGGTGGTGCTGTCAATCAATTTAAATGTCTTTCGTCTCACTTAACGTAGCTTGACATTGATATCGGGCAGCCCGGGACGCACAGCGTAGGTATCTTATCTGCAAGATAAAATCCAGTCTGCATTTCAAAGAGCTCGCATCTTTTGTTCAACTTAAAATAGCTCCCTGGAGTGGTTGTGTAGAACCGTCATCGCTGTAGAACGTCAGCGCTGAGCAGGGAAGAGCTTCCACACGCACCTGGCGCCCCTCGTTTTGCCACGCCGGCAACAATGGGAGCTCGCCAACAACCATGGGGCACTCGTAGGCGGGCGGCGGCGGCGGCGGTGGCAGCGGTGGTGGTGGCTACGCTGCACGTGGCTGCCTGTAACCCAGCACTGCTGTGGACGCAGCAGCGAGGGGTGGTGGATCGCAGCACAAATGTTGTTGTGAAACTTCGTGCGCATCGAGAAGCTGCCGCCATACCCTGGCTCGCCAGGACAATGCACTACAGCAAAAATGTGGACTCCACCTGTTCCGTGTGTTTGGGATAGAGCGTTCCCCCCTCGCACATGTGGGTTTTCTGCCGGTGCTCCGGTTTCCTTCCACGTGTAAACACTCATTGATTGGTCGACAACACCTCAATATATAGAGGACCGCAGAGCTTGGGAATTTTTTGTGGCTTTCCAGCTCACCGCGTGGCCGCCGCTGCTGCTGCTGCCTTCCCGTTCGTTTGTGGTTCCTCCCCATGGTGCCTCTGAGTCGTCTTCTTTCTCTCTCTCCGTGTCTCTCTGTCTCTATTTGAAAGTGAGCGATGACTGTGTGGTGGCATGGCGTTACAAGTTGACATTATAATTGTTATCATTGCTCTAACACGCCGCTGAGCAGGCTTAACGGTGGGGTTTGTGTTTTGTCTGTGTCCCGTTGGTGGCGCAGGTACTTCCTGGTGGACAACGAGGGCAAGGTGGCGCAGCAGCAGGAGGGAGTGTTCCGCACCAACTGCATCGACTGCCTTGACCGCACCAACGTGGTGCAGAGCATGCTGGCACGGCGCTCGCTACAGTCGCAGCTGCAGGTGCCACCCACCACCCAACCCCCCTCACCCCCCTCATGCCCACACCCCCAGTGCATGCTTCACCTGGCATGATACAAACACCAAACACCATGTGGGATGAGTTTCTGATTTTAAACGGTTTGGATTTTAGACTTTTTAAAGGATAATTCTGTTTTTTCGGATCTGTTGGTTTTTATCGTGCTGTCTCGTGGACTCCGCCGCTGAAATCCCAAGAACTCCGCTTGCCCGTGTTTATTTTGTGCCAGCGGCATGGCTAATTTGAAGCGCTGACTCCGACCAGACTGTGGGCGGGGGGGGGGGAGGGGTCTTGCGTGCGCTGGGGCGGTGGGGGAGGGAGGTACCGGGCAGGAGCGTGGCGGGGATTAGCGCGGCACGTGTGTGAGCCACGCGATGGGGCAGCAGCTGCCGGCGTCACCGGATCCCGGGGGTGGCTCCCGCGTCCCTTCCCACTCTGTGTCTCGCGTCGTCTCGGCTGCCTCCTCTTCTGGCCCCCTCGCTACCGATGATTTTTTAGTTAAGACCTCCCAAGTGCTCGCGAACAAAAAGACAAAGGTCCCCCGAATAGCCTTAACAGACTGTTGGGGCCGTCGCTGTTAGCGAGCACCTATGAAGGCCGGCATGGCGCATGAGGGGGTTGGTGGCCAACATCACCCCCGGCCACCTTTGTCTCCCCAGCGGCGATGTTTACACATGGCACCAGGTACTCATTTGGAGCTAAGTGGACCTAGCGGATGCCCAGGACCGGTTCAAGTAATCGTCACTGGTGTTGGCCTTGAGCAGGAATCGAACTCGAGTTGCCGAATTCGTAGCACAGCGGGCTAACTGCTACACAACTGCTCCTGACACACACAACAACAACAACAACAGCCATTCGCCACTAAGTGGCGGTGACGTCACCACGATGCTTGTGCCAGGCTATGTGCACCTTGAGGCCACGTGAAGTGTAGAACGCCCGCTGGCAGGAGGTCACGGGGTAGACCCAGATGCCACAGGTCGACTGACTGAGACGACTGGCTGATGCACCACCTGTGCCCCTACTGTGCCAACTTGCTGTGCTTTAGACACCCGGCGCTCTGCTTGTTGTTGTGAGCGTCGCTCCTCCCCACTACGTTATTGTTGGAGGGCGACTACCTCCAACTGCTCAGTAGCGGCCTTGACGAGCCTCCTCCACAGAGGCCGATCTTGACACCGCTGGTACCAGTCATCAGCAAGTCCACTCAGCTCCACGTCCTCCTGTACCACATCACTCCATCTCTTCTCTAGCCCGTGCCGCGCCCGTTTAGCCCCCTCGATCCGGCCAAACAAAAGCTGTTTCGGCATGCGGTGGCTGGGCATGCGGGCTACATGACCCAGCCAATGCAGCCTTGCCTGCCGGAGCTCACCGATGGGACTTTGTCCAACATCTTTCAAGGATTTGTGAGCTCCTCACACAATCCAGCCTGGTTAAACCCAGGATGGATCGTAGGCAGGCCAGCCTAAATGTTTCTAACTGGTGAAGATGTTCCATTAGGGGTGTCCACGTTTCACAAGCGTAGAGAAGGGAGGGAATGACCATGGCCGAAAAGACCTGAAGCTTCGTGCGGAGTGATAGACCAGGGAGCTTCCACACAGCGTTACGCAACCGATGAAAAGATAATGCCGCTCGACTGATTCGGAGTGAGACCTCTGCTGTTAAACCGGAGCCGGTCATGAGCACACTGCCCAGGTATGGGAAACGCTCCACTCTCTCCACAACTGCCCCATCACCGATTGGGAGTTGTGGGGGTGGAGTGCCCGATGGTACAAAATACCTAGGCAGGTGCTTCGTTTTGGTGGGGCTGATGGTAAGGCCCCACCTCTTAGTGGCACATTCCAGTTTCATCAGCAGCGCCTCCAACTCCTCCTCTGAGTGAGCCGCAATTACCAGGTCATCGGCATACGTAACGTGGTTGACCAATAGGGAGCCATCCCTTGACCGCACCCGGGCATCGATCAGCCTCCTGTTGTATTTGTACCAGATGGAAATTCCTCCGGTACAGCCACTGAAGGTTTCACGAACTACGTGGTCGAAATAGATGTTAAATAATGTTGGAGCCAGAGGACATCCCTGTCGCACCCCAAGGTAAACAGGGAATGGCTCCGACTCCTGGCCACGTAGTTTTATCCGTAATGTTGGAGCCAGAGGACATCCCTGTCGCACCCCAAGGTAAACAGGGAATGGCTCCGACTCCTGGCCACGTAGTTTTATCCGTGCCCGCTCACCATCATGAAGGTCCTTAATGATCGTGAGCAGCGGGTCAGGGACTCCGAAAGCACGAAGAACAACCCAGAGCCCAGGCCTACTGATGGTATCATAGGCCTTGACCAGGTCAATAAAGCAGAGATGTAGGTCTTGTTGGAATTCCCTACACCTCTGCTTTAGCAAACGGACAAAAAATATCTCATCTGTGCAGGACTGCCCTTTCCTGAAATCACATTGGGGCTCCGCAAGCTTCTCCTCAGCGTGCCTGGCAAGGCGGTGTTGAATAATCCTTGCCAGGACCTTTCCTGGCACACTGAGGAGTGAGATGCCCCTGTAGTTGTTACAGTCTGTGCGGTCTCCCTTCTTAAAGAGGGGAACCACCAGGGCATCATTCGAGTCCTGCGGAACCCATCCAGTAGTCCATACTGTTGTTATGATGTCATATAGGGCAGTCTGTGCACAAACGCCACCCTCCCTCAGCATTTCGCTTGGAAGATCATCTCTGCCTGGTGCCTTTCCTGGTCTCAGACTCTGGATCGCCTTCAGTACTTCCTCAACAGATGCCACCTCAGACAGCCACTCACAGGGGGTGACTTCCTCTTCCAATATTTGAGGCCCCGCAGCCTCAGCAGGGTCATCCCCACTTTGTTCCACGATGTTTTCCATGTGGAGGGATTTCCCCTCCCCCAGGACTTCACAGAAATGCTCAGCAAATCTGCAAACATGTTCCTGGGGGTCGGAGATTGGATCACCGTTTTCTCCCCTAATGATGGTAATAGGTGTGGTGCTGCAGGTTACTTTTTTGATGGAATTAAATAGGGATTTGTGATCGCAGGCCATTTAGGCAGACTCCATCTGCTCAGCAACCCGCGACCACCACCCATCCTTGCAGCGCCTCACGGCTCTCCGAACCTCCGAGCGAAGGCTGCGGCAAGCCTCCTCATTCTCCGACGTGGGATGCTGTAGCCGATAAGAGTGGGCCTGGTGCTTTTCTCAGCCAACTTGAACACCTCCTTTGTCAGCCAGGGTCTCTGGGGAGGTCTGGACCGCGTACCCAAAGCAGCCATTGCAGCTGCCTGAGTCACGGTCCTAAACCTCACCCATTTACCGTCGACATCTAGAGGAGTGGGGGACGATGCCAACCCCAGTCACAAGCGATGATTAAATTCTCGCTTGCAACTTTCATCAGCTAGCTGAGACCAGGCCACCTTATGTTTGAATGGGGTCCTGGGTGTACACCCACCACCGGAGTGGAAGAATGGCAGACGCATAGTCGATGGTCAGAGGGTAGATCAGCATCTGACTCATCGGCCTTGCCTGCATCCCTCCATGGATGTTCGTCTTCGGTGGGGGCATAAGTAACCACCACCACCACTCCTCGCCTCTGGTTGATGGGAAGGCGAGTCCAAAGTAGCCTGGGGCTTACAGCTTCCCACACCTCATCGCCACGCTCCCACGCCCCCTTCATTTTTTTGTTCAGAAGAAGAGCCACCCCCTGTTGTTTTGCAGTCTCCTGCCCTGAGTAGAGGACTGTCCACCCCTCGGTGGCAGGAGCCAGAGCCGGTCCACCGGACCTCCTGAATGCCACAGAAATCCAGGCGGAACCGGTCCAGCTCCTGAGAGAGGAGTGGGAGCCTCTCCTCCGCAGTGAGCGTTCGAACATTCCACGTGGCCATCCGTAGTGGCTTTTTGTTGTTTCTGGAGGAGCCCCGAGAGTAAAGATTCAATCTCCTGGCTCCACCAAATGGGGTTTGGCCAGGAGACGTCATAGACGCCTGTTCCCCTGGGGCCTCCGGCACAAGCTTGTTAATTACATTTTTCGGTCGTAGTTTAGTAGTAGTTAATTGAAGGCAGAGGGGTTACCAGCCCCTCGCACCCATCCAGAGCCCCCATTTAGCTGCCATGGTGGTCACAGATGCCATGAGGGGAAAGGCCAATCGGAATTGGCCCACCCCCCCCACAGCACTGTCCATGACAGCGTTGCCCGTCCGGCACCACACACACCTACACACACATACTTGATGTATAGTTGGTATGCTTTGTGTGTGTGTTTACGTGCCTGCGTTTGTTCATACCGGCCTTCATAGGTGCTCTCTTACAGCACTTGCCCCAACAGTCTTTTAAGGTTATATGGAGAATCTTTATCTTTTGATATATATTGTATGTGTTTGTTTATATGTGTGTGTGTGTGTTTATGTTTGCATCTGTATGTGTCTTTCATCTTCCAGTCATATCAGTCAGTTAACCCATATCATCTGGGTCTGTCACATGACCTCTGTCCAGCGAGCCTTCAACACTTTGACGATGTCTCAAAGCGCACTTAGTGGCGAATGATGGCTGTTGTTTTTGTGTGTATTTGTGCTCATGGTGTTAAACAAGTGTAGGCTCCCAACTGTTATCATCCACTCTACCTCTGCCTGGCCTCTCTATGTGCCATGAAGAAGGCTTATACACACACATGGTCTTGTTATTGACATGGAATGTACATGGAGTTTTTTGTTTGTGAAAAGCATAAATATGGTCCCTGTGTTGTCTCCCTGTGTGTGTACGCGTATCCGTGTGTCTGCGCGTGTCTCCGTGTGTGCGTCTCCTTGTGCGCGTCTCCGCGTGTGTGTGTATGCGTGTCTCTGTGTGTGTGTGCCGTACGTCTGTGTGTATGTTTGTGTGCGCGTCTCCGTGTGTGTGTGCGTGCGCATCTCCGTGTGTGTGTATGCGTGTCTCTGTGTGTGTGTGCCGTACGTCTGTGTGTATGTCTGCGTGCGCGTCTCCGTGTGTGTGTGCGCGCGTCTCCGTGTGTGTGTGTACGTCTCCGTGTGTGTGTGTGTGTGCGCGTGTCTCCGTGTGTGTGTGCGTGTCTCCGTGTGTGTGCTCATTTCTGTGTGTCGGCGCAGCGCGTGGGGATCCTGCACGCCGGCCAGAGGGTGGAGGAGCATGCCGAGTTTGAGAAGATTTACAGAAACGGTCGGTGCCCGCGTTTTATTTATTTCCCCATGGGGCGCAGTTCGCTCTGCGAGCTCTTACTCGGTTTAATTGGCGACGTTTGTAATGCGCCAACCCGCGGAACCGTTCCCGTCGAGGCTTCGTGCCACAACCCACGGGCGCGTTTCTTCGCTCGTTAATTCCTCGATTAATGCCGGCGGCTTCTCTCACCGCGGACAGTCTTGCTTCTGGGCGCAGCCCCGCGCGACAAGCCATGCGGTTGAACCTTGACCCTCACGAGACAGGTACGGCATGTGCGGTACAGCGACACGCTGGATATTAATATTCGCTGATAATAATATTCGCTGATATTAATATTCGCACGCCCGCATCTTCGCTCGGCGGATAAGAAGGACGTGCGGACAAACGCTTCTTCATCGCTGCTCCCATAATTTCTGTTCCCGTGAACGGCACTCGTTGATTCCTCCACCCATGCTAGAGACATTCGGTCTACCAGGCTGACTTTTCTCTGATCCACACTTTGTTTAACCGCCACCGCACTGCAGGTAACAACAACACGCTCGCCCACCCCCTTCACACATTCGCTCATCCACCCGCTCATTTGCTAACTCACTAACACACCTGCCACGCTGCAGGTCGCAACAACACATTCGCTCACTCACCCGCCCGCTCACTTACTCACTCGGTCACCAGCTCACTCATCCACCCACTCACGCATTCACCCACCTACTGAAGCGCTCGCCTACCCACTCGCTCATCAACTCACCCACTCGCCCACTCTCACCACACTGCCAGGTCACCCCGTGTCTCTTTTACCAAGCTGGCCCTTGTCGCATTGGGCCTTTGGGTCTGTGCTTAGAAATTTAGCGGTGGGCATGTGCGCCCCGCACGACGCGCGCGTGGGCGTAGGTCGGTGATCGCCGTGTCCCCCGGTGGCATGGCAACGGTGCGCTGTCATGCGTGCGTGCGTGCGTCAGAGAGAGCGACGCTGTGCGTTTTTTTTTTTTACTAACAGTCATCCCAGCAACCTGGGTTTGGTTCATCGATACGGTTAACGTCAGCGGAGAGTGGTATCTATATTTATTGTGGGCCTCCCCTAGGTCGACAAGGCCTTAAACGACGACCTGGTTCTATGTGTGAAATATCAGCGCCGGGGAGATGAAGCCGGTCCGGGCATGCTGCTGCTGTCCACAACATCCCCTTGCGCATTCTTCATGCCTTAATAGTTACTCGTCAACACCACTTGCCCCAACAGTCTGTATGGCTGCACGGGGACCTTGGTGTTGTTAGTCTTTGTGGGTGTTAGAACAGAGTGGTATCGTATTGGCTTCTCACCCGTCAGTCCCGATCGCTTGCGTTTGATCCCTGGCCACGGACAAGTGGTATCCATACTTGCGCTGGGTCACCCCTAGGTCAACTCAGCCTTGAATGATTTCCTGGTGCTGTGTGTGAACATCCGCAATGGGATGATACCCAAAGTGGTCAGATGCGATCCCGGCCTGGCCCACCCCAGTGTGCTTGCCACGCTGTGGTGTAGTTGAATGCGCATTCATGAAAAAAAAAAACTCTCCAGTAGTGTGCAACTGCGGTCATCCGGAACAGATCATACAACGTGTAACGACGCAGTGCCCGGTTCACAAATACGAAGAAGAAACAGGAGGCGCTTGTTTAATCCGGTAGGCGTGCCCTTCTGTGTGGTACGATGCAGGCTGTCCGCCATGGACCCCTAAGCTTCGTTAATGAGACAAGCGGGCATTTAGAATCATGCTTGGGGTGCCCTCGCAAAGTCGTTCCTGCATCACCCCCACCCCCCGAGACATTTAATCCGTTACAACATTGTTGTAACTCTTGTGTGTCTGATTTTTTAAATGCTTCCCCCTTCAGATTCCTATTGGACAGCTGTAAACACAAATCCTATCTTGTGATTATTATAAACTCTCCAGTAATGTGCGACTGCGGTCACCCAGAACAGACCGTACAACATGTAGCGATCCAATGCCCGATCCGCAAATACGAAGGAGACATCGCAGCGATGCAATCCACTGCTCCCTGATGCGGCTGTCTGGATTGACCACCTCAATATGAAATTGTAATTGTTGCTCTGCATCTACATCAGCCGTACGGAAAAAACATTATTATTGTGCTTCACTGAGTCTTAAAACACTTTTCTCGGGAGGGTCCTGTCAAGTTTTTCCCAGTCGGGGATGATGTTGCCATTGAACTTCTTTCTCACTGTACGTAGCCAACCGTGCTCATCGGAATGTGATCCCAATTGAGTAATTTGCGGTGTAATCTTTCAGCATTGGGAGGTTTGTCAAATGCAAACATTTTTTGTTGCTGTGGGAGGAAACCAAAGAACCCCGGAGACAACCCATTGTTTTACAAACTCCACATTGAAAAGCACCCGAGTAGGGAATCGAACCCCAGGGCCCTTGTTGCTACTGCTGCGAGGCGCGAGCGCCACTGCTGCGCCCACCGCTCCTTGCGGCGACCACGACGGGAGTTACAGCTCAAGATGGGAACTGTGAAATTATGTGGTCGCCTATTTCGGCAGCAGTAAACTTGGTGAATGCCATTCGTTCCTGCAGCCTGCAACACGGCGACACGGCCAATCTTCGTTCTTCGTGCCAGAGCTCGCGCGTGCGCATGCACGTGCATCCGAGTGCCTGGCATGGTTTCACGCGCAATCTGTGTAGCCTGCACGTTGAGCATAATTGGCGGGCCTGTGTCTAACCTGCCGAAAATGAGCACCTGCGCATCTCTCCCGGCGAGCGCCAGCTTCTGCTTGCTGGCGCAGGTGTGCTTATCCTCTCTGCCTGCAACCCGCCGTGCCTTTGCCAGCCGGGCAGCAGGGTGGTTGGTGGTGGCGGCAGCGCAGTGATTACAATGCTCGCACTATCACAGCAAGAAGTGCCTAGGATTTGATTCCCAACTCGGGCGCCCTTTCTGCGTGTAGTTTGTGTCAACAAGGACAATAGTCAAATAGATGCTCGCTAACCCAACCAGCTCCCGCAGCCTTGGCTGTGTTTGTGCGTGCACACGCGTTTGCTCGTGTGTGTGTGTGTGTGTTTGCTCTTGTGTGTGCGTGTTTTCTTCTGTGTACGTTTGCGGTTGGTCGTGTGCACCTCGTGTGCTTGCGTGTCTTTGGTTGTGTGTGCGTGTTTGCGCGTGTGTGCGCATGCATTCTTCCGTGTACGTGTGTGTGTGTTTGGTCTTGTGTGCGTGTTTGCTCGTGTGTGTGTGCACGTGTTTTCCTCTCTGTGCGTGCGTTTGGTCGTGTGTGCGTTCGCGAGCTTGCCCGTCTGTGTGCGTGTGTGTGCGTATTTGGTTGTGTCTGTGCATATTATCTCGTGTGTACATGCGCGTTTGGTTGCTCGTGCGCGCGCTCGCGTCAGCCCCGTCCACCTCGTTGGGTTAGCGCTTGGACCGTGAGCCACCCATGCTTGGTCCTGGCTCCGCTGTTGTCTCATCCATCAAGGCTTTATCCTTGCCTGGCAGCTCGCCAACTTTCTCGCAACCCGTTCAACCGTAAATGTAACCGGATGTCTGACAGCCTCCTGATTCAAAGCTGTGCGCACACGCACGGGCGCGCGTGCGCACACCCCGTCTTCTCCGCAGTAGCCGCCACCGCGGACCTCCCGACACTTAACGTGTCGTGCCGAACACCATGCCAGGGATTTGTTTAAGAAAAAAGAAAATTCCCAGCCGCACGTGCAGACGTTAAATTGAATGGGGCCCAGATTAACGACGCTGACACCAATGAGGCGCTCGTAACGAACAATAATGATCACATTCGCCATAATGCGAACGGGAATGTGGCGTTTGCCGCAAAATGTTTTTATGTTGCGGCACGTGTCGCGAGAGCGGCGGCGGCGACTGCGGAGGACGAGGAGGAGGAGGAGGAAGAGGTGGAGCCTGGCTTTGCAAGCTTGAGGTGGCGGTTGTTGGGCACTCCAAGTCGTTGGAATGGAGAGCGGGGGGGGGGGGTGTATTTGCGGTGACGATGGATCCAGGAGCTGCTTAAAGTGCTGATCATAAGCAGGGCCCTGGGGGGTGGGGGAGGATGGGGGGGGGGGGCATCGCGATCCTTGCTCGTGAGTAGCTGCATTAGTTAGTGGCGAAATGAGATGTTTTGTAAATACTACGTCGATATGAGTGTGGAACAGGGGACCGGTTTTGACCCAAAAACTCTCCTAATGAATGCTCCTGAAATGCTACTGAAATGCTACAAGCCCGCATTGCATAACCAGTCACGTGCTGAGGGTAGGAACCTTCTAGAACATGGGTCGGCAACGAAAATAACAAGCAGCAGCCATTTTTTCGAATTCGGTACAACACTCAATATCTCAAGAGGCGCAATGCATGTGAATGCTTACGTACACACACACACACACACGTTACATCACGAAGCTGTCCTTAAAGAGAAGCATGTGGCTCCGGAGCTGCAGGTTGCCTACCCCTGCTCTAGAAGATGGCAACCATGTGGAGGAGATACACGAGGACCTGAGGAAGAATCATTTTGAATGTTTGTGCCTAAGGACAGGCCCGCACTGTGTGGAGCAGAAGCTGCCACGGTGGCGAAATGGTAACTACCTCGCCTGGCATTTGCATGTTCTCTCCGTGGTCATGTGGATTTTTCTCTGGGTCCTCAGGTTTTTCCCTCCACATTTATAAACATGCATTTACGGTATTTGGCTGCTATAAATATCCACATGATGATAAACCGCTTTGTTGAGCTATCATTTGTGGCCAGATCGCTTCTGAATAAAGAACTGTATAAATCAGTGGGCCTTTAACTGTGGTTAAATACAAAATTATTTAGTTTCCCTGAAAGGTTTAAGAGGAGGTGGATGAGATGGTGACAGCTTAGATCATCATCATAGGCCGTCGGACCGTCGGAGAGGGTCTCAAGAGCGCTTCCCCGATCGACAGGGAGAGAGTCATCGGACTTCCTGCTCGTCTTCGGTGACGTCCAGAGACTCATTCCATCCCTGCTAAATACGGCTGTCATAGCAGCTACGTCACAGTTACAGAGACAGCTCTCTAGGAATTGCAGCTCCAAGCGAAGTTGTGTCACTGCTCCTTCTCTGTGAACTGTAGCAGAGCAGCAGAGTGTGATCTGGTATCGAAAGGTTTTATGTTAAAATTGTTGTCTCGCCATGCTCTTGATTCCTCTCGTTATGCTTGTTTACTTAAACCATGTGTAGTTAAGGGCGCCACGATGGCGAGATGTTAACTACCTCCCTTGGCATATCGGAAGTCATGAGATCGATTCTAACCCTGACGCCTGTATAGTTGGGAGTTTAAATGTTCTCCCCGTGGTCGCGTGGATTTTTCTCAAGGTCCTCCGGTTTTTTCCTCCACATTTAAAAAGGTGCATTAGAGTATTTGGCCACTGTACTTTTCCACACGATAAGCCACTTCATTGAGCTATCAGTTGTGGCCAGGTCGCTTCTGCAAAAAGAGCTACATAGCTTAGTGGGCCTTTACCTGGTTAAATAAAAAGTAGTAGTCTAGTTTGAGACGAAAGACTTTTGGTCTTGTGTCCACTCGTCACCCGTCAGACCCTCACACACCCTGAGCTAAAGTATCGGCCGTTCTCTGCACCTCCCCACCCCCCCCCCCCCTCCCCCCGGAAACCCCTACGCTGCCCCCCCAACAGTCTGGGCCGACAATGCGGATGCTTGCGCCAAGCAGTACGCTGGGACGGGCGCGCTCAAGACCGACTTTACGCGGTGAGCGTCACACGGCCACCACCACAGCCGCACGAACCACGACCACCGTAACCACATCGCATTCACCACATCATCATCACCACCACAACAGCAACCGCGTGATCACAACCGCACGACCACTGCCATCGCCTCACAGCAACCGTATAATTGCCACCATCACGGCAACCCCACGATCGCTACCACATCGTAGCAACCACATTATCACCACCGCAACCGCATGACCACAACTGTACGACCATAACACAATCGCAGCCATCACATGATCACCACCTCAAGCGCATTACTTCGACAACCATAGGATTACAATTGCACGCCCTCCACCACAACCACATCGCGTGCAGCACATGACCACTGCCACAACCTCATGACAACTACCACAACTGCAAAGACCACCAGCGCAACCACGTCCACTGCACCTAGCAGTCCACGTGAAACACCACGTGCCCTGTTGTATATACGTATGTATGTTGAACTTTCGCACCATACGTAGCCAACCACGCTAATCAGAGGTGCAGGAGGACAACAAAACTAAACACAAAAAGCAGTTCTTCAGAAATTAGTTTTCAACTTAGATTTACAAGTTCATAGCTCCGGTGGCTTCCTAATATCAGAAGGAAGAGCCTTCCAGACGGCCGCAGAAGTGCATCTGAAAGTACACGATGCAGTGACCATATTTGTTCGATTGGCGAGCCAATAGCCACTGCTGCGAGGCCGACCCGAGTTCACGAGATGGTTTACACTCCTTGGCGCGATAACGCTTCCGTTGTGCGCGCACGATGGACTAAACGCGTACGCAGTGACCGGGCGACGGCCCTGCGACGTGGTGTGACGTTTCTCTGTCACAAGGGAGACACGGGATAGCTTGCTACTTTACAAAGCTCGACGCCGCCTGAAAAAACTCTGCTCGCACTCCTTGTCCGCTCGTGCACCAACGAGATCGCTCTGAGCTCTTCGGGCTGCCGTCTTCTCAGTACTCCGAGGTCAAGGCTCGTTTCCTGTAGGGGTGTTTGGGGCTTTTGCCAGTGCAGGTCACAAGCTTTAGAATGCTTTGTTCCTGATGATAAGACAATCAGAGCCCCCCTTGAAAACTCACCTCTTTAAATTGGCCTTTACCCCCTAGATCTCGGCCAGTGTTTTTCACTAATTTTCAGAGCGGGGGTGGGGGGCACTTTCACTGATAAGACATCATCAGAGGGCTGCCACGCATTTGAAACCATTGTTGGATTTGGCAGCAAGATGGGGTTTGTTTTCACATTTGTGTATTGTGGGGGGCTGTGCTAAAGGCCGTCGGAGGCTGCGCTAAAGGCCACCAGGGGCCGCCATTGGCCTGCGGGCCTTGCCATGAAGAACATTGCTTGAGGCCATTTACCCTGTTTCTGTTTATTTCCTGCTTTCCATATGTAGTGTGTTAAAAAATGACTCGCACCGACACGTTGTAACAGGTCACGTGCTTCCACATTATTCACCTATTCTTGCACCAGTCGTAGGCACTCCTATAATTAACTATCTGTATGGTAACTTATCCCCCTCGTATCTACTTTACACCTCACTTATCCTGCACTCGGCAGCTCTGCTCTCAGCGTCTCCGCACACAGCGTAGTCGCACACAGCGTCTCCGCACACAGCAGCCTCGCACACAGCAGCTCTACAACTCCACCGCTGCCCGCACCGATGCTCCCTCAGACCCGCTCACCCGGGCGGGGGGATTAGCCTACACCCGCCCGGCGACGCGTGAGGGTTGAGGTTCGTTGATGGCTCGAGCGGCAGCGGCGAGATGTCTCCATTCGTGTCCCCAGCAACAACTCCCAGCTCCGCTCAAGCACACGCCCTTATATCCCCTTGCCAATTGTCCGAGACCTCTCGTGCGTCTCTTTAAGTTCAGCCAGGCTGGCGCCTGTTTGCCCATCAATCAACCCTTATCTCCCGTTTCCCTGGCAACACCTCCGGTCGACCCCGTTTGCACCTGCTCTGCCCCTTAACAACTGGCAGTTTGTCCGTGCAAACCTAAAGTTTGCACCCGCGCACCCGTTTGCCCTCAGTTGCCCTCGGCTAACTGTGCGCACCGCGTATTTCACTCCTCTACACATACATGGCCATTGGGATCTACGGATTAAATTCGCCTTACATGTGTAAATTATTATGAATCACCCCCGCCCACCCCCTCCCACTCTCTCACCCACCCCCTCCCCCCACCTGCCCCTCGCCCGACAGCACGGGCAAGCGCACCAAGCGCGGTCTGCTCATGGACGGGTGGAACTCCATGATCCGCTACTACAAGAACAACTTCTCCGACGGGTTCCGGCAGGTGAGCTTTGCCACAGGCTGGTGAGGGACGCAGTCTCATACCCTACCGGGGGAAGGCCACCGTTAGGGCTGCGGTGTTCCAAGAGGCCCGGTGTACGCCGTAATGTTGCGAGCACGCGAAGCCGTGGGTGGAGCGGCGGTTAACACTCTGTGTGACTATAAACTTTTTATTTTACCAGGTAAGGTCCATTGAGCTATGTAGCCCTTTTTCAGAAGCGACCTGGCCACAAATGATAGCTCAACAAAAAGTGGCTTATCACGTGAAAATGTATCGTCAGCCAAATGTTCTAAACGCACGTTGATTATAAACGTGGAGGGAAATCCGGAGGACCCGTAGAAAAATCCATGCGACCACGGCACGGAATAGAAGTTCATGGAGAAAAGGAAACCTGAGTGGCCGACCGCTGATGTGATAATGGGACTTCTGGCTTCGAAGACGAGGAAGACGTGAGGTCGCCAATTAGGCCTCTCCTCATGTACTATTCTAAAAAATATATAAACTATTTTAGATGTTGCCACTGAAGGCCCACGAAGCTACGTAGCTCATCTTCAGAAGCGACCTGGCCACAAATGATAGCTCAACGTAGTGGCTTATCATCTGGAAATTGAGGCCACTATTCAGACTATGCTAGGAGAGGCCATCGTTGTTCAGGACCAGTATCACCAATAGGGTAGTTCACTATTCAGGTCCCTGCAGGTGTTACCACTGTGCTGGCCGCTACAGGCCGGGTCACTATGAATATGCTTACATGCCACTGTGTAGGCCCCAACAGTTGGCGTGCCACGGTGGCAAAATGTTAACTACCTTGCCCGGTATACAGGAGGTCGTGGGTTTGATCCCGACTCTGATACCTGTGTATTTGGAGTTTTCACATCTCTCTCTCCCTTTGGTCGTGTGGATTTTTCTTCTGATCCTTCAGTTTTTACCCTCCACATTTAGAAATATGCGATAAGAGTATTTGGCTGCGATGAATTTACACACGATAAGTCACTTAATTGAGCTATCATTTGTGGCCAGGTCGCTTCTGAATAAGAGCTAAGTAGCTCAATGGGCCTTACGTGGTAAAAGTGAAAAATAGTTAAGGTTTTAGTTTTAGTTGGAGCTTGGACACGCAAAGCTAAGTGAAAGGTCGCCGAGTCTGTGATTGCACGGTATTGACACTCTGTCCACACCATTGGCATCCAGACGCCGCTGTGACTGCAGGACTGCTGAGTACAGTGAAACCTTGGATTGCGAGCATAATTCGTTCCGGAAACGTGTTTGTAATCCTAAGCACTCGTATATTAAAACAATCGTACATCAGTTCTGATCACGTGACGCTTGGCAGACAAAGCGTATAAATGCTACTCGTATTGCAAGACCCCTCGCTCGTTTATCAACTTAATATTTATTTTAAAAATTTTTGCTCGTCTTGCAAAACACTCGCAGACCAAGTTACTCGCAATCAAAGGTTTTACTGTAATGGGAACCGCAAACAGTTTGCGTGACCCCTGACCTCCCCGCTCGCCCCCTTATCCCTGCCCTCTCACCCCGGGGTGACCTCCCCTTGCCCTCCTTCTCCCCCTGCTGAATCTGACGACCGCAAACCGCCGGTTCAGGATTCCATTGACCTCTTCCTGGGCAACTACGTGGTGGAGGAGGCAGAGAGGGCCACGCCACTGCTGCACGAGCACAAGGACTGGAAGTTCATGGCCGTGAGTGTTGTCTCGCATTCCACGCCGGCACGGGTCCGCACCAACACGCGCGCATGTGCTGGCTGGCCCCCCCCTCGTGCGCCGGGCCCTCCATCGACTGGACATTGGTGAAAAAGAGCTTAATAGCTTTCATTCAGTATGGTGCTACTCGTGAACGGTGGCACTTGCCTCAATAGTCACTCTAAGGCTACACGGGGTGGGGGGGGCATCTTTGTCTTGTACATGATTGTGACGGTTTGGTGAGCAGGGGTGCAGCGGTTAGCACACTGCACCTTCGTGATTATCTTTCCCCGTTTATTGTTTACGAAGTGATTATATTTTTTAACTCGTAATTTTTCTTGAAAGTTCACGATTAAAAGTTTTTTTTTTTTAAATTGGTATTACCCATGATTGTAGAACGATTTCACTAGTAAATGACAGCATGTCAAACATAAGACGGCATTGTCCCGTGACAGCATGGGCATTATCAGCATCATAGATTGTAAGGGTGCAATGATTAGAAGACTCATGGCGGACCGTGTTAAGTGAACTGCAGTTGAAAAATTTCTAATGCGATCTTCCTTGATTCCCCTTTGAAGTACATCAAAGCAGTGAAAAAAGGCGATAAAAATGCGAAATGCTCGCATTTAGTTTCGTATCGCGAGGAGCCGGCGATAGCAACAGTCGTCCACACTTGATGAGATTTTAAACATGTTTGTAAGGAAACCGGAGCACGCGGAGAAAATCCACGCATACGAGGAGGAAGCACTCTATCCTGTACAGTATAGAGTGTTGTGTCCGCACTTAGCTGTACCGTCTTCTCCCGGCAAGCCAGGGCATCTCCTCGATGCCCATCGAGCGAATGCTTAGTTAAAGTTAACTGATTTTGCGATAATTGTCACGTTAAGACTTATATTGCGGACGCCCTAATTGTTATTATACAACTTGTCAGCGTGGGTTATTTCGGCTCTTCCCAATTTCGTCATTAATTGGCATTGGTCAAATATCCTAATGCAGATCACGAGCAAAAATCATCATCATCATCGGCCATGATCAATCCACCCCCCAACAATCCTGCGATACAACGATCCACCAATTGCCAGCACACGTGCCGACTTCCTTGCTCCATCTCCGCGGCGGACGCACTGTTGCGAGCGTTCGTTCCCGGCGGGCTGCCACTGAATGAATCGTTAAACAAAAGTAGAAGAAGAAGTTATTGCCTTGAAATAAAAACACTCCCAAATCCCTCCGCTTGCTACGGGTCGTCACGGCAGTGGCACACCATGACAGCCCGCGGTAATTTGGTTTGCGCGAGAAGGAAATGCAGACGAGCTCAGCCCCGGGGCCCCTCGGTGTCACAATCAAGCGGCTCGAGCGAGCCCGCCGCTGCTCACCCAATTTGTGAGCGAGTGGAGAAGATTTTCCGCCAAAGGCGGGAGGTGGATTGAGTCCAGCCTCCATTGCGCTTTTGGAGGTGTCGCTCTCAGATATGGAGCCTCGCGTTAAAGCTGCTGCCGCTGCTGCTGCTGGCGCTGCCGCTGCTGCCGCTGCTGCTGCTGCTGGCGCTGCTGCTGCTGCTGCTGCTGGCGCTGCTGCTGCTGCTGGCGCTGGCGCAGGCGTGTGCACTTTGCGAGCACTGCACACAAGGGCGCACGCGTGGGCACGGCGTCTTTGGAAGATGAAATTCAGCGATTAAACGCCAACTGTCACGCTTGATATGGCTCGGGTACATTTGCATAAATAGATACCTGCCAGCATTAAGCCTTAAGACACTTCACAAAGTGCACCCAGCCTGCCATATGCATACACACAAATGCACACACACTTAGATGATTCAAAACGTACCTACACTCAACGACAACCGCCATTCGCCACTAAGTGGTGGTGACGTCACCACGACGCTTGTGCCAGGCTATGTACACCCTGAGGCCACGTGAAGTGTCGAACGCCCGCTGGCCGGAGGTCACTGGGCAGACCCAGATGCTGTGCTTTAGCCACCCGGCGCTCCGCTCGTTGTTGTGAGCGTCGCTCCTCCGCCCTCCGTTGTTGTTGGAGGGCGACTGCCTCCAACTGCCCAGCAGCGTCCTTCACGAGCCTCCTCCACAGAGGCCGATCCTGACACCGCTGGTGCCAGTCATCGGCAAGTCCTCTCAGCTCCACGCCCTCCTGTACCACATCACTCCATCTCTTCTCTAGCCCGTACCGCGGCCGTTTAGCCCCCTCTATCCAGCCGAACAAAAGCTGTTTCGGTATGCGGGCTACATGACCCAGCCAACGCAGCCTTGCCTGCCGGAGAAGCTCACCGACGGGACTTTGTCCAGATCTTTCAAGGATTTGTGAGCTCCTCACAAAACCCAGCCTGGTAAAACCCAGGATGGATCGTTGGCAGGCCAGCTTAAATGTTTATAACCGGCGAAGATGTTCCATTAGGGGGGTCCACGTTTCGCAAGCATAAAGAAGTGAGGTAATGACCGTGGCCGAGAAGACCTGAAGCTTCGTGCGGAGCGACAGACCAGGTAGCTTCCACACAGTGTTTCGCAACCGATGAAAAGATGATACTGCTCGACTGATTCGGAGTGAGACCTCTGCTTTCAAACCGGAGCTGATCATGAGCACATTGCCCAGGTATGGGAACTCTTAACTCTCTCCACAACTTCCCCATCACTAATTGGGAGTTGTGGGGGTACAAAAAATACCCAGGCAGGTGCTTAGCTTTGGTGGGGCTGATGGTAAGGCCCCACTTCTTAGTGGCACGTTCAAGGTTCAGCAGTAGCGCCTCCAACTCCTCTGAGCGAGCGGCAATTACCAGATCATCGGCATACATAACGTGGTTGACCAATAGGGAGCCATCCCTTGACCGCACCCGGGCATCAATAAGCCTCCCATTGTATCTGTACCGGATGGAAATTCCTCCGGTACAGCCATAGAAGGCTTCACGAACTACATGGTCGAAAATATGTTAAATAATGTGGGAGCCAGAGGACATCCCTGTCGCACTGCAAGGTGAACTCTCGGCCACGTAGTTTTACCCGGGCTCGCTCACCATCATGAAGGTCCTTAATGATCGTGAGCAGCGGGTCAGTGATTCCGAAAGCACGAAGAACAACCCAGAGCCCAGGCCTACTGATGGTATCATAGGCCTTGACCTGGTCAATAAAGCAGAGATGTAGCTTTGTTGGAATTCCCTACACCTCTGCTGTAGCAGACAGACAGAAAATATGGCATCTGTGCAGGACCGTCCTTTCCTGAAACCGCATTAGGGCTCCGCAAGCCTCTCCTCAGCGTGCCTGGCAAGTCGATGTTTAATAATCCTTGCCAGGACCTTTCCCGGCACACTGAGGAATGAGATGCCCCTGTAGTTGTTACAGTCTGTGCGGTCCCGCTTCTTAAAGAGGGGGACCACCAGGGCATCCTTTCAATCCTGCAGAACCCGTCCAGTAGTTCAGACTGTTGTTATGATGTCATATAGGGCGGTCTGTGCACAAACGCCACCCTCCCTCAGCATTTCGCTTGGCAGATCATCTCTGCCTGGTGCCTTTCCTGGTCTCAGGCTCTGGATTGCCTTCAGTACTTCCTCAACAGATGGCATCTCAGCCAGCTGCTCACAGGGGGTGACTTCTTCCAATATTTGAGACACCGCAGCCTCAACAGGGTCATCCCCACTTTGTCCCACGATGTTTTCCATGCCGAGGGATCCCCGTTTTTTCCTCTAATGATGGTAATAGGTGTGGCGCTGCAGGTTACTTTTTTGATGGAGTTAAATAGCGATTTGTGATCGTGGGCCATTGAGGCAGACTCCATCTCCTCAGCAACCCGCAACCACCACCATCCTTGCAGCGCCTCATGGCTCTCCAAACCTCCGAGCGAAGGCTGCGGTAAGCCTCCTCATTCTCTGACATTGGATGCTGTAGACGATGAGAGTGGGCCTGTCGCTTTTTCTCAGCCAGCCTGAACACCTCTGTCAGCCAGGGTCTCTGGGGAGGTCTGGACTGCGTACCCGAAGTAGCCATTGCATAATTTCCCCTCGACATCAGGAGGAGTGGGGGATGATGCCAACCCCAGCCGCAAGCGATGATGAAATTCTCACTTGCAACTTTCATCAGCTAGCTGAGACCAGGCCACCTTGGGTTTGAATGGGGTCCTGGGTGTACACCCACCAACGGAGTGGAAGAATGGCAGGCACATCTTACAGATGACAAGTCGATGGTCAGTGGGCAGATCAGCTCCACGGTAGGTCCTGGTGTCAAGGACATGGGCCTGCATCTGCTGTTCCGTGACTACATAGTTCAGCAGATGTTCTTGCTTGGACCCAGCATGCATCCATGATGTGTGGATGCGCCGATGCCAGAACAGTGTGTTGGTAATTACAAGCCCATGGGCTGCACAAAAATCTAGCAGCCTCCTACCGTTGTTATTGAGCTGATCTGGCCTATGGCTTCCAATCACTCCAGACCAGGTGCCAGCATCATGACCAACTCGGGCAATGAAGTCTCCCAACAGGATGACTGTATCCCGAGGGGCCACTTTAGCTAGCACCTGTGACAGGAGGTCATAGAAGCCATCTGACTCATCGGCCTTGTCAGCATCCCTCCACGGATGTTCGTCTTCGGTGGGGGCATAAGTAACCATGACCACCACTCCTCGCCTCTGGTTGATGGGAAGGCGAGCCCAAAGTAGTCTGGGGCTTACAGCTTCCCACACCTCACCGCCACCCTCCCACGCCGCCTTCATTCTTTTGCCCAGAAGAAAATGCACTCCCTGTTGTACCGGTCCAGCTCCCGACAGAGGAGTGGCAGCCTCTCTTCCGCAGTGAGCATTCGAACATTCCATGTGGCCACCCTCAGTGCTTTTCTGTTGTTTCTGGAGGAGCCCCGAGGGTAAAGATTCAATCTCATGGCTCCGCCAATTGGGGCCAGGAGACGTCATAGACGCCTGTCCCCCCGGGGCCTCCGGCACAAGCTTATATTCATTAGATATTTTAGACGTGGCTTTGTGGTAATTAATTGAAGGTGGAGGGGTTACCAGCCCCTCGCACCCGTCCAGAGCCCCCATTTGGCTGCTGTGGTGGTTACAAACACCATGAGGGGAATGGCCCTCCGCCCACGGCTCTTCCCACCACAGCGACGAGGAGGTAGAGGGTTGTTTTTGCGCACACACACACACACGCCATACGTAGACACATGCACACCATACACACACAAACCCTGCTAGGTGACTCTTACCAATGAGACTCATATCCGTGTCTCTCGAGTTCTCACCTCGTTAAACAAATAGTACACTTTAAACATACAGTGAAACCTTGGATTGCGAGTAACTTGGTGATAATTTGATAAACGAGCGATGTCTTGCAATACGAGCAGTACGTACAGTATACGCTTTGTCTGCCGAGCGTCACGTGATCACAAGTGAGCCAATGGTTCTTCTTTCTCTCTCGCTGTGGGATTGTGGGTAATCATCTCCCATGCTCGGTCTCAGTCGGCATGCCTCACTCGTATAGTCAACATCCGTGCGAGCGTATACTGTTTACTACAGTACTATAGTGTTGTGACCACGTGTGTGTGCGTAAAGCATTTTTTTAATTTTGTGTCCAAGTGTAGTGACTGTTCTTTAGTAACTGTACTGCAAGTGAAAGTCGTCCTACACAATAACCCTCCTCCTCCTCTCTCTCGTCTCCCTCACACCAGCCACGATTAACTGTAATTAATACATCTGATTACTTTATATTACATTTAAATACTAAAAAATATAAAAAAGGTATTTTGTATTAATCATTTTTATATGAATACAGTATTTTTGGGTTGTGGAACGAATCATCTGAGATTCCATTATTTCTTATGGGGAAATTCGCTTTGATATACGAGTGCTTTGGATCACGAGCACGTTTCCGGAACCAATTATGCTCGCAATCCAAGGTTTCACTGTATTAGGCATGCAACAACTCATTGGTGCGCAGCCACCCCCTCCTTTACCAAACCGCACTGACTAGCGTGGTAGGGTATGTTTGAACAAACCCCATGGCCGATGTTGCACAGACAGGCCTTCATCCAGCAGTGGAATGACAAAGAGTTAGAAGGGGCGGTAAGTGCCGTTGCAGATGCACGCCTCTTGAGTTTGTGGCCGCACAATCGTTTTTTTTTTTCATGAAATGATTGAGCGGGACAAATGGTTATTATTATTATGGCATGTGCGCATTGCGGAGTATTTAAATAATGTATGACTACCACTTTTTAATGGTTTACAACTCTGTTTGAAAGCCCTTAATCCATGAGCTCCATCCATCTGTACCGTTCCGGGGGGGGGGGGGGTGGGTGGGGCCCTGCAGCTCTTGTAAAGATGCTCCAGTGTGCACGGTGAAGTCGTGTCGGCAACTTCACCAATCTATCGGACCGCCGGCCTCAGCGATCAAAGTGTTCGTGCTCAACACTTGGAGACATAACCCGCAGCGAACAGAGATGGGCTGTTTGCAAATACGCCAATGCATTTGCCCCCCCCCACCCCCCACCCCTTTTAACCTGACAGTTGCCCCGTCAGATTTTTGTTACCGATCATGGTAAAAAATGGTAAAAAATATATATATACGTGGATTCCGCGACGGTATTCCAACGTGCGTTCACGTGCGTGAGAAAATGAACGCGCGTTGGACGTTGGTGCAGGATCCGCGGTGCGCAGGGACGATTTTTGTTTGTCCCCGCTCGTCGTGTTCACGCGCGTGACCGACTCTCCTCCTCCCTGTCCCCGTCTCCGCCCTCCCTGTACCCCCACAGCTGCCCATTGTCATGGTGGTCGCCTTCTCCATGTGCATCATCTGCCTGCTGACCACCGGTGAGCAACGCGTGCGGGGGGAATGGGACCCTGGCGGGGGGGTGGTGGTGCGGTTAGGGGGTGGTGCGCTGTTCGTGTGTGAAAAGTAGGGGGGAGCGGTAGTGTCACGGTGAGCGTCACTCGATCGACCCGGGTTCGATTCCCACTAACTGTTAGCACTACTGACGGTTATTTGAAATGGGCCTGGGCCTCCCTCGGTCGAATCAGCCTCAAATGAGTACCTGGTGCGGTGTGTAAAAATTATCACCACTGGAGAGACAAATGCGGTCGGGCGTGGTGTCCATCACCCACCTCCTCGTGTATCGTGCCCGCCTTCATAGGTGTTCGCTACAAAGTGCACACACACACAATAAAGATATGAAGATCCCCCGTATTGCCTGAACAGACTTTTGAGGCAAGTGCAGTGAGTGACCGCTTATCAAGGCCAGAACGGCACATGAAAGGGTGGTTATGGCCAGCACCACGCCTGGCCGCCTTTGTCTCCCTAGAGGCGATGTTTACACAGCACACCAGGTACTCATTTGAGGCTGAGTCGACCTAGGGGAGGCCCAGGAACGGTGCAGATTATCGCCGCCGGTGTTAGTCGCAAGCGGGAATCAAACTCGGATCCCCGGGTCCATGGGGCAGTGCGTTAACCACTTCGCCATCAGTCCTCACACACACACACACACACGTACACACACACACACGTACACACACACGTACACACACACACACGTACACACACTTCCCCTATTACTCTCCAAAGGTGCGTCTGCTCACGCAGCGTTCCAATATCAGCACAGACGGGGACGCGGGTGGACGGGCTTAGTTGCTGACCCCACTACCCCCTCCTGTGCCATGCCAGCTTTAATGGGCGTTCGCTAGCAGCGCTTGCCACAACAATCTCCCAGATTAAACAAGGGGAATCTTTGTTTTATCCTTTGTGTGTGAGTGGCGAGCGGTAGTGTGGTGGTTATCGCACTGTGCTACAAAGCCGGCGACCCGAGCTCTATTCCCACTCACCCCGGCCAATAAAACTGGTCCTCGGCCTCCCCTAGGTCGACTCAGCCTTAAATGAGCACCTGGAGAGGTGTTGAAACGGCATCGGCACTGGGGATACAAATGCGGCCGGACGTGGTTTTGGCCGCCCTTCAAAGGTGCTCGCAAACAGCACTTTCCCCAACAGTCTGTTAAGAGACTATACGGGTGATTTTTGTCTTTGTGCTCCACCCGGTTGCCTGCCGTTCCTCAGCCAGACACCGATCTTATCAAGGCATTGCAGAGGGCTCTGGATCGGCTAAAAATACAAAGTCACAGCGTCTGCTTGGCAGCCCCGGCGTGCCAAACGCATTAGAGCAGCAGTGGGGTGTTTAAAAAAAAAACATAACCAGAAGAAGAGAAACTGTCGCGCCCCTCCCTGGTCCCTTGAACGCGTCGTCCAGGTCGGCGATTAAAGGGCATGGAAAACGTGGAGCGGCCAGGAGGTGGCCTGGATCGGCTAATCGTGGCCTTCGTTGTGTGTGGGCAGCCACCGCTGACCAAACTGGGTTCTCAAGCGGAGCGGAGCTAATTGCTTTGGCCCGGTGTTCACCGATGACTGCACAAAATCACCCCCTCCACTTCCCCCCCCCCCCCCCGTCTCCACTTTCAATTTAATTTGGTTTAATCCGTTATTGGGGCTTAATCCAGCTGTGAAAATGTAAAACGCCAGTGTGATTGTGCACGTGCATATACGGCGGCGCCCTCTTGGCTATCCGCTGTTGGATGAAGCCATCCGCAAGCCGTGCAGATTGTTGGTGGTGCGGCGGGGGGGGGGGGGTGGTGGGGTTGTTTGGCCGCACTTCACCGTGCCGGTCAGTGCGGGACTGGTGAAGGCAGGAGTGGTGGTGCAGCGGTCAGCGCGGCTGTCGTACGAATCCAGCCGACCCGAGTTTGATTCCGGCTCATGATGAATAACATTGGTGAATGTGTTGGAACCGGACCTGAGCCTCCCAGTATCTGGCGCTGAGGAGACAAAGGCGGCTGGGCGTGGTGTTGACCCACCCACCCCTTCAAAGGTTCTTGTGAACAGCACTTGCCCCAACAGTCTGTTCAGGCTATATATGCGGAGTCTTTGTCTTTATGAAGGCGCAGGGAGTGTTGATGCGGATGCTGAGACGTTCAGAACGATGGATTTTACTGGTGCGCTGCCCTCCGCCTCAAGGGAATAAATCGGTGCCCAGCCTACAGAGGTCACAGAGAGGCCTTCACAAGTAGTTCTGTAACAACGTCGGCGGCTTTGGCGCTTCCACGCAGGGTGGTGCCCTGCTATCCGCGAGCGTTCCAGATGCCAAATCAATTTTTTCCGCATCACCCAGCGGCGGTGCCGCAGGTGCGGTACGCTCGGCCAAGCAAAAGCAAAGCTCAAACCTCGCGATTTTTTGATGTGGCCAGGTGGCTAGTCGGTAGAGCGAGCGCTTGCAAGATCGCAGGTTCAAATCCTAGCTGGGAGGTTGACTCCGGCCCATAATCCCTCTCTTCGGGGAATGCGGCGGTTGTCCTATGGATGGACTCGCCCGTGCCATAGGAATGCGGACTTTTCACCACTGGCTCGGTGTTTTTGAGTTTTTTTTACACACACACGTAACGCACGCTCCCACCGAGATGCAGGCTCGCGTGCCGAGTCGCCGAGCCGGTGCGGCTCGGCGTTCCATCGCAGCCGGCAAAGCCACGGGCCCGGCGAGCCCCCTCCCGCCACACGCCCGCCACGCTGTTCGCTCCATCGCCGAAAAATCATGCTTCATCGGACCGAAGCGTAACAAAAAAAAAATACAAAAAGCGGCCGTCGCCGGAGGTCAGCAGATGTTGAAGAATGGCGAGCTTGCGGCGCAGGGACAGCCATGAAGCGGCGAGGTTTTAATTTATTGACGCGTGTGGTTTTGTTATTTTCGGTAAGTGGGGGGGGGGGGGAGCACAGGCGATGGAAGTAACGCGGCGGGCGGGCGGGCGAGCGAATGCGATGCTCGGCGATGCGAGAGGAAGCGCTAAGAAGCCTCGTGGGCGGTCGCTTTAGGCGCCTTCGAGAGTTCGCGGACCACTGCCGGGGTTCTTTTCGCCCACTCCCTGCGCGGCTCCCCCGCCCTCGCACCCCCCCGTCTCTCGCCTATGCGGATGGAAATAGCCGGGGTAAGTGGTACTGGGAGGGCGACCAAGCCCCGTGACGAGGGGCAGCAGGGCACAGCGCCACGCAGCAGGGCTCTGCTTCAAAGCGAGTGATTCCTTATTAGCTGGCTCCGGTCTTCTCTCGGTGAGTGCCACGTGCGCGGTTTGTGGGCCAGGTGAGGCACCTGGAGGAAACGCGATGCTCGTTGCAAAAGCAAAGCCGACCGGTTGTGATGGCCGAGTGCAACCCTGGCAGTGCCGACAGTGACGACAGTGCCGGCAGTGGTATCGCCACCGCCATTCGAGCGCTGGAGGTGTACTTAACGTTGGAGGAAAAGCAGGAGGGGGGGGGGGGATGGTGGTGATGATGATGGTCCTCGGGTGTGAGAAGCTTGGACAGCAGTGTTATGTTGTTTGCCCTTGTGCATGTGTGTGTTTGTGCGCACGTGCGCGTGTCTGTGTGTGCGCGCGCACGTGTGTGTGGGGTGTGAATGTGGAAGGGTGTGTGTGTGTGTGGGGCGGTGGCACAGTGGTGTTAGCATGCTGCAAACCCGGTGAGTTCAGATCCTGCCCTCGTCTAATATCCGTGGCGAATGGTGATCTGAACCAGTCCCTGGCCCCCCTTTTACCAGCCTGCACGACGGTATGGGTCAAGAAACCCATATACAAGTGGATTGACATAGGGCTGTGTGAATCGTAACAGCACTTTGCCAAACAGTCTCCTTTTATAACGATGCCTGGCAACGTGTGCGCGACCGAATGTGCGAATGCACGAGTGCCAGACACGTGGGTGCGTACGTGCACACGGATATCATCACCAGTCGCCCCGTGACAACCGGCCAGAGATTAACTCTCCGATCCACTGTGGCCTGAGCGATGATGACGACGTTGCCTGGCGCAAGTGCTTGTGATGTGCGCATGCGTGTGTGTTTGTCTCGTGTGTGTGTGTGTGTGCGGGCGTCTCGTATGTGTGCGTGCGTGCATGCGCATGGTGTAGCGGTTAGCGCGCTTCACTACGAAACGTGTGACCTGAGTTTGATTCCAGCTTGCAGCTAACACTAGTGGCAAGTGTCTAAACCGGTCCTGGGCCTCCCCCCCCCCCGGTCGACTCAGTCTCAAATGCGTACCCGGTGCGGTGTGGAGTAAACATCGCCACTAGGGAGACAAAGGCGGCCGGGTGTGGTGTTGGCCATCCACCCCCTCGCGTGCCGTGGCTTCATAAGTGCTACCCACTAACAGCACTTGCCCCAACAGTCTGTTGAGGCTATACGGGCATCTTTGTCTTTGTGGGCAATGTTGGTGCAACGGTTAACACGCTGCTAGGAGTACGGCAAGCTGGCATTGATTGCCGAGCCATGTGGCAAGTGGTCTATTTTTATCTGTCCTGCGCAGACCTTGGTTCAATTATAATGACAATTACAGGAGCATTGTGGGTTGAAATTTGGATGTGAGTTCAGTGACATAATTACAACTGTAATTGACACCAGGTCTGGTTCTTAGCCTCCCCTGGGTCACGGTGGCGAGATGTTAACTACCTCGCCTGGCATACAGGAGGTCGTGGATTAGATCCCGACCCAAACGCCTGTATATTTGGATTTTGCGTGTATCTCTCCTCCAGTTTTTCCCTCCACATTTAGAATCAACATGTGTCTGTAGAATGTTTGGCTGCCATAAATTTCCACACTATAAGCTACTTCGTTGAGCTATCATTTGTGGCCAGGTCGTTTCTGGAAAAGAGCTACATAGCTCAGTGGGCCTTAACTGGTAAAATAAAAAAAATAGTTTAACACGTCGGCCTGGCTCTCCAACACATCGGTGTGCTGTACTAGTGACGAATTGGCACGTTCTGTTTACGTGACAACCCTTACTAGTTGGCTGTGCCGGATGGTGGCGGGTTTTAACGACACAGTTGTATATTCATACGATCTAACTCAAAAAACCTCGAATAAAAATGAAAAATAGTTTAGTTTTAGTTGTCACCGAGTACCCTGTGTAGTGTGTAAACATCACAACACTGTCTCTCCAGTTATTTATTGCCTCTGTTCCATTTTCTGTGTCCCATATTCCAGCCCATGTCCTGCCCTGCGTTGTGGTTCCCATAGGATGAAGACGCCCGAAAAAAAAACGTGTCTTTAAAAACGAAATGCCATTTTTTTCTTGTTGCTTTTTTTTCTTTCTTTTATTGAAACAACTCCGGAACAGCGTGGACGCGCGGCTCGCGTCCACGCTGTGCTTTTAACCCTGTCCCTGTCGTGCGATCGCGCGATCACGCGTGCGTGCGTGCGTGCGTGCGTGTGTGCGTGTGTGTGCGTGTGTGTGTGTGCGTGCGTGCTTCCCTGCCATGCGTCCCCAGGCGACACGTTCACGGAGACGCTGGCCTACCTGGCGTTCTGGGCGAGCGCCGGCGCCGTCACGGGCGCCGTCATCCTCTACAACGGGCGGGAGTTTGTCGACGCGCCGCACCTGGCGCACAAGGAGAAGACGGACTGAACATGCGCGTGCGGGAAGGGGCTCACGGCCGGGCCCGTGCCTCCAGAGCACTCGCCACCTCCCTTCTGGAAGCTCTACTGATCCAAGTGGGGTGGATTGGGGGGGGGGGGGGGGGGGGGGGTAATCGCCCACCGCCACCCGCAATGGGGACCGCCCGCTCGCCAGCCCGCTCGTTCCGCTCGTTCCGCTCGTTCCGCTCGTTCCGCTCGTTCCGCTCGTTCCTCTCGTTCCGCTCGTTCCGCTCGTTCCGCTCGCTCGTGCGAGAAGCTGGGTTCGTTCCCCCTTCTCGACCGATATTCGGCCATTCCGCGACCGATGTTGGGACCGTTTCGGGACCGTTCCAGGTTCGTTTCTGTGATCATTCCGGGACCGTTCTGTGACCGTTCCGGAATCGTTCCGTGATAGTTTTGTGACCATTCCGGGCCGCTCTGGAATCGTTCCGTGACCATTCTGGAAACGTTCTGTGATCATTCTGTGACCGTTCCCACGATCATTCCTGAACTGTTCCCGAACCGTTCCGGGACCATTCCGGGACCGTTCCGCGACTGTTCCGTGACTGACCTGGTCCTGGCGTGCCATGAGGGGGGGGGGGGGGGGGGGGGGGGCGGCAGGAGGACAGGTGGCGCTATATTCCACACGCAGCGAGGGGGATGCCGGGCGGCCCGGCCTTCGATCGGGGAGCGAGAGGGCGGCACCGTTCCCGTGCGCCCGCCATCACAGTTACTCCGCGGGCCGGTTCCTAGAAGTGGTCACGGGCTTTCCCGTGGAGCGGCGAGCTCACCGGCTTGCTTGACGGAGCGGGGTTGTGGTGGTAGATCTCGGTGCCAGCGACTATTCGACTCTTGTTTTGCGACCCCGGCCCCTCCGCGGGGTAATTTGGAACGTGGCGTAACATGGCCCTTGTGCTTCTGGAAATATTCGCTTAATTCGTTCGGTTGAACGTCGGCCGGTGCCGGCACTTTGCTCGGTGCCAGCGCCGCCGTGGACGCGGGCGGTGGTGGTGGGGTGGTGGTGGTGGTGGTGGGTGAGGGTGCATGCTGGCGGGTGCTGGGTGAGGAGGTGGACGAGGCATTTTGGAGCGAGACCTTGGGGCTGCTTGATTTTTTTTCTTTCACTTATTTTCCCCTTTTATCTCTTGGAGGTTGACGGCTGTCGGGAGAGACCCCCGCGCCCATCGGCGGAGGAACTCGGCGACGCCTCCGGCCTCTTGGCCGGGAGAGAAACGCCGCTCGCAATCCCCCTGGGGGGGCGGGGGGGGGGGGGAGGAAGTCGTGGTACCGATTCCGCCGCGGGGGTTTGCGAGCGTGGCAGGGGATCGAGGGAGCCCCCGGGGGTGTGCGCCTTCCCGCACGGAGCCTACGCGTCGACTCGTCGCGTCGTGTCGCGTCCGTGTTTTTTTCTTCGCAGTGTTCGCTCGGTGTTCGTTTCGCGCGAGAAAATATTGGTCCAAATCGCACGCGTATCGCGTGTGCGTGTGTGTGTGTGTGCGTGCGTGTGTGTGTGCGTGCGTGTGTGTGTGTGTGCGTGCGTGTGTGTGCAGCGGCTGCCGTGGCGTGTTGCGTGGGGATCGGTGGCGCAGCGGTTAGCGCCGCTGCGCTACGAACCCGGCGGCCCGAGTTCGATTCCCGCCCACGGCCGACATCGGTGACGAAAATCGGAACCAGTTCCTGGGTCTATCCCCCCCTGGTGCGATGTGTAAACATCGCCACTGTCGGGAGACAAAAGCTGCCGGGCGTGGTGCTGGCCACCCCACCCCCCGGCCTTCAGAGATGCTCGTTAACAGCACTTGCTCAAACGGTCTGCTAAAGCTATACGGGGGGGGGGGTGGGTGAGGGGATCTTTGTCTTTGTGTGCTGTAATTGGGAGGAGAAAGGTGCCGTGTCACAGACTGGGCCACTGGGGGCCGGGAATTTTACCCGGCAAGCCGGAACCTGGAGCTTGAGATCTTCGCCTCCTGCGTAAAAACAAAACAAAACAAAAAAAAACTCTTTAAATCTGAATGTCACTCATCGCGCCGCCGCCGCCGGCACCCTTCTGCCGATTTTAAGTTGTGCCACGAGAACGACGTGGCTCAATTTCCAGAGCCGGCTTGCCGGGCAAACACGGCCGCCGGCGCTGCTGCGCTGTGCCCGGTGCAAAGCGGTGGGCCGTGAGTTTGGCCGGGAGGAGCGTCGTTGGGCACGCGACCCCGGCGAACGGCGTCGCCTGCGTTCCACCGGCGGTGGCGGCGTTGGTTTTTTTTTTTGTTTTAAAGGGAGACGGCGTCAAAATAAAAGCGCGACTGGAGCACCACTCGTTGCAGCCGTCCGTCACCGGTGTGGGCTCGGAACGGAGCGGGAAAACGTCGCTTTCTTAGCATGAGGAGCTACCCCACCGCACCACACCACCGCCTCCACCCCCTCCACGCCACCACTCCCACACCTTCCTTCCGCTCCTCGCAAACCCTCCCGGGGGCCGCAGGAAAAGTGCCGCCGTACAGCTTCAGCAGCGTTGCACTCCGTCGACCGTGACTGGAAATCAAAACTCCCTCTCATCGCCGCCGACGGGGTGGCTTAGTGACACTCGGGTGACCCTTCGAGTTTTAGTTTTATTATTTTGTGGCTGGTGGTTTTAAAACTGCCCTGGCTTCACACGTCCCTGGCCTCCTGCCGCTGTGCTGCCACCCACAGTTCCCGACCCAGCACCACCATGTCCCGTGCCACCGTCATGCGCCACCGTGTGCCCCCCACACCGTCGCAGCATGCGCCACTGTGGGAGGCACCCTCCTCCCATAGCCCACGCTCGTGAAAGGCAGTCGCGTACGATTCACTTTGGATTGACGCATCGAGAAACTGACTCGGGTGGTGCAAGTTTCGGGTTTGTTCCAACACCCGCCCTCTTATACCGCTGCACAATCATACCCTGCACTACCATACCCTGCACTACCATACCCTGCACTGCCATACCCTCCACTATCATACCATGCACTACCATACTCTGCACTACCACACTCTGCACTACCATACTCTGCACTACCATACCCTGCACTGCCATGCCCTCCATTATCATACCCTGCACTATCATACCCTGCACTATCATACCCTGCACTACCATGCCCTGCACTACCATACACTGCACTACCACACCCTGCACTACCACACCCTGCACTACCACACTCTGCACTACCACACTCTGCACTACCACACTCTGCACTACCATACCCTGCACTACTATACCCTCGACCATACCCTGCACTACAATACCCTCCACTACCATGCCCTGCACTATCATACCCTGCACTATCATACCCTGCACTACCATACCCTGCACTACCATACCATGCACTACCATACCATGTACTACCACACCCTGCACTACCACACTCTGCACTACCACACTCTGCACTACCACACTCTGCACTACCATACCCTGCACTACTATACCCTCGACCATACCCTGCACGACCATACCCTGCACTACCATACCCTCCACTACCATACCCTCCACTATGATACCCTGCACTACCATACTCTGCACTACCATACCCTGCACTACAATACCCTCCACTACCATACCCTGCACTACCATACCCTGCATTACCATACCCTGCACTACCATACCCTCCACTACTATACACTGCACTACCATACCCTCCACTACCATACCCTGCCCTACCACACCCTGCACTACCACACCTTGCACTACCATACCCTGCACAACCATACCCTGCACTACCATACCCTGCACTACCATACTCTGTACTACCATACCCCCTGTCATACCCTGCACTACCATACCCTCCACTACCATACCCCCTGTCATACCCTGCACTACCATACCCTGTACAACCATACCCTGCACTGCCATACCCTGCAGTTATTTACCTGTGACAAGGTGGGACAGCTGGATGCAATTGTGAACAACAGCCATATCAAACACTCATCCGTTCGTTTCTCAGTGCGCTTGCCCTGGTGAGGGTCGCGGCGGCAGTTCCGTTGAGTAGGGCGGTCCAGGCCTCCTCCCTGTCCCTGGCGACAGACTCCAGCTCTTCCTGGAGAATTCCCAGGCGTTCCCAGGCCAGCCGAGCGGCATAGTCTCAGCAGCGTGTCCTGGGCCGGCCCCGGGGTCTTCGCCCGGTGGGACGTGCTGCTGCTGCCCGTTAGACTTCCAGGCGGAATCTACCGGGGGGCGTCCTTACAAGGTGCCCGAACCACCTCAATTGGCTCCTCTCGATCCGGAGCAGCAGCGGCTCGACTCTGAGGCTCTCCCGGACTACCGAGCTCCTCACCCGATCGCGGAAAGCGAGCCCGGCAGCCCTGCGGAGAAACCTCATTTCCGCCCCTTGTACCCCGCGATCTCATCCTGTCGGGTCATTACCCAAAGCTCATGACCATAGGTGATGGTGGTAAATCGACCTGTACACCGAGAGCTTTGTTCGACAACTCGGCTTCCGCTTCACTCGTCTAAGACCGATCATCTAAATCGGCATGAGCACTGGTTCACTGCACCTCAAAGGCTCAGTACAATACAAGGCGTGTGGTTAAGTTACGAGATGTCACGTGTGTGTGTGTGTGTGCTCGGCATTTGAAGACCAGGACCGGTGATTTCGCCGACAATGTTCATCAGGGAGGCAGTTCCGCATCTGGAAAGCAGAGTGACGGGGAGCTTCTGTGTCTGCAACGTGGAGTGTATAGAGAGTGTGTGAGACGTGTGATGTGTCTAACGCTGTGTGTGAGACGCGTGGTGTGTACAGCGTGGTGTGTTTAACGCTGTGTGTGAGACGTGTGGTGTGTACAGAGTGGTGTGTCTAACGCTGTGTGTGAGACGTGTGGTGTGTACAGAGTGGTGTGTCTAACACTGCGTGTGAGACGCGTGGTGTGTACAGAGTGGTGTGTCTAACGCTGTGTGTGAGACGTGTGGTGTGTACAGAGTGGTGTGTCTAACACTGTGTGAGACGTGTGGTGTGTACAGAGTGGTGTGTCTAACACTGTGTGAGACGTGTGTGTATAGAGTGGTGTGTCTAACACTGTGTGAGACGTGTGGTGTGTACAGAGTGGTGTGTCTAACACTGTGTGTGAGACGTGTGGTGTGTACAGAGTGGTGTGTCTAACACTGTGTGAGACGTGTGTGTATAGAGTGGTGTGTACAGAGTGGTGTGTCTAACACTGCGTGTGAGACGTGTGGTGTGTACAGCGTGGTGTGTCTAACACTGTGTGAGACGTGTGGTGTGTACAGAGTGGTGTGTCTTAACACTGTGTGTGAGACGTGTGGTGTGTACAGCGTGGTGTGTCTAACACTGTGTGAGACGTGTGGTGTGTACAGAGTGGTGTTTCTAACACTGCGTGTGAGACGTGTGTGTACGGAGTGGTGTGTCTAACACTGCGTGTGAGACGTGTGGTGTGTACAGAGTGGTGTGTCTAACGCTGTGTGTGAGACGTGTGTGTACATAGTGGTGTGTCTAACACTGTGTGTGAGACGTGTGGTGTGTACAGAGTGGTGTGTCTAACACTGTGTGAGACGTGTGTGTATAGAGTGGTGTGTCTAACACTGTGTGAGACGTGTGGTGTGTACAGAGTGGTGTGTCTAACACTGCGTGTGAGACGTGTGGTGTGTACAGTGTGGTGTGTCTAACACTGTGAGACGTGTGTGTATAGAGTGGTGTGTCTAACACTGTGTGAGACGCGTGGTGTGTACAGAGTGGTGTGTCTAACACTGTGTGAGACGTGTGGTGTGTACAGAGTGGTGTGTCTAACACTGTGTGAGACGTGTGTGTATAGAGTGGTGTGTCTAACACTGCGTGTGAGACGTGTGGTGTGTACAGAGTGGTGTGTCTAACACTGTGTGAGACGTGTGGTGTGTACGGTGTGGTGCGTCTAACACTATGTGTGAGATGTGTGTGTACAGAGTGGTGTGTCTAACACTGTGTGAGACGTGTGTGTACAGAGTGGTGTGTCTAACACTGCGTGTGAGACGTGTGGTGTGTACAGAGTGGTGTATCTAACGCTGTGTGTGAGATGTGTGGTGTGTACAGAGTGGTGTGTCTAACACTGCGTGTGAGACGTGTGGTGTGTACGGAGTGATGTGTCTAACACTGTGTGAGACGTGTGGTGTGTACAGAGTGGTGTGTTTAACACTGCGTGTGAGACGTGTGGTGTGTACGGAGTGGTGTGTCTAACACTGTGTGAGACGTGTGGTGTGTACAGAGTGGTGTGTCTAACACTGTGTGAGACGTGTGTGTATAGAGTGGTGTGTCTAACACTGCGTGTGAGACGTGTGGTGTGTACGGAGTGATGTGTCTAACACTGCGTGTGAGACGTGTGGTGTGTACAGAGTGGTGTGTCTAACACTGTGTGAGACGTGTGTGTATAGAGTGGTGTGTCTAACACTGTGTGTGAGACGTGTGTGTATAGAGTGGTGTGTCTAACACTGCGTGTGAGACGTGTGGTGTGTACGGAGTGATGTGTCTAACACTGCGTGTGAGATGTGTGGTGTGTACAGAGTGGTGTGTCTAACACTGTGTGTGAGACGTGTGGTGTGTACGGAGTGGTGTGTCTAACACTGCGTGTGAGATGTGTGGTGTGTACAGAGTGGTGTGTCTAACACTGTGTGAGACGTGTGGTGTGTACAGAGTGGTGTGTCTAACACTGTGTGTGAGACGTGTGGTGTGTACAGAGTGGTGTGTCTAACACTGCGTGTGAGATGTGTGTGTACAGAGTGGTGTGTCTAACACTGTGTGTGAGACGCGTGGTGTGTACAGAGTGGTGTGTCTAACACTGCGTGTGAGACGTGTGGTGTGTACAGAGTGGTGTATCTAACGCTGTGTGTGAGATGTGTGGTGTGTACAGAGTGGTGTGTCTAACACTGCGTGTGAGACGTGTGGTGTGTACGGAGTGATGTGTCTAACACTGTGTGAGACGTGTGGTGTGTACAGAGTGGTGTGTTTAACACTGCGTGTGAGACGTGTGGTGTGTACGGAGTGGTGTGTCTAACACTGTGTGAGACGTGTGGTGTGTACAGAGTGGTGTGTCTAACACTGTGTGAGACGTGTGTGTATAGAGTGGTGTGTCTAACACTGCGTGTGAGACGTGTGGTGTGTACGGAGTGATGTGTCTAACACTGCGTGTGAGACGTGTGGTGTGTACAGAGTGGTGTGTCTAACACTGTGTGAGACGTGTGTGTATAGAGTGGTGTGTCTAACACTGTGTGTGAGACGTGTGTGTATAGAGTGGTGTGTCTAACACTGCGTGTGAGACGTGTGGTGTGTACGGAGTGATGTGTCTAACACTGCGTGTGAGATGTGTGGTGTGTACAGAGTGGTGTGTCTAACACTGTGTGTGAGACGTGTGGTGTGTACGGAGTGGTGTGTCTAACACTGCGTGTGAGATGTGTGGTGTGTACAGAGTGGTGTGTCTAACACTGTGTGAGACGTGTGGTGTGTACAGAGTGGTGTGTCTAACACTGTGTGTGAGACGTGTGGTGTGTACAGAGTGGTGTGTCTAACACTGCGTGTGAGATGTGTGTGTACAGAGTGGTGTGTCTAACACTGTGTGTGAGACGCGTGGTGTGTACAGAGTGGTGTGTCTAACACTGCGTGTGAGACGTGTGGTGTGTACAGAGTGGTGTGTCTAACACTGCGTGTGAGACGTGTGTACAGAGTGGTGTGTCTAACACTGTGTGAGACGTGTGGTGTGTACAAAGTGGTGTGTCTAACGCTGTGTGTGAGACGTGTGTACAGAGTGGTGTGTCTAACACTGCGTGTGAGATGTGTGGTGTGTACGGCGTGGTGTGTCTAACACTGTGAGATGTGTGGCCTGTGCATCGGGGTCAGTGAGGCGTGGGGAGCCTTGGGGGTAGGGGGGGGCTGCCCCGTGTTGCCCCCCCCCCACGCGCAGCGATTTAGAAGTTCATTAACGCCCTTAATTAAAGATCGCGCAAATCCGTGACAGCGATTTTAATGATCGGCTCATTACGCCTGTCAAGAGCCTCTGATAAATCTTCCAGCCACTGCATACATTACAGTGAGGGAAAAAAGTATTTGATCCCCTGCTGATCTTGTACGTTTGCCCACTGACAAAGAAATGATCAGTCTATAATTTTAATGGTAGGTTTATTTGAACAGTGAGACAGAATAACAACAACAAAATCCAGAAACACGCATGTCAAAAATGTTAGAAATTGATTTGCAGTTTAATGAGGGAAATAAGTATTTGACCCCTCTCAATCAGAAAGATTTCTTATACAGGTAACGAGCTGAGATTAGGAGCACACTCTTAAAAGGAGTGCTCCTAATCTCAGCTTGTTACCTGTATAAAAGACACCTGTCCACAGAATCAATCAATCAATCAGATTCCAAACTCTCCATCATGGCCAAGACCAAAGAGCTCTCCAAGGATGTTAGGGACAAGATTGTAGACCTACACAAGGCTGGAATGGGCTACAAGACCATTGCCAAGCAGCTTGGTGAGAAGGTGACAACAGTTGGTGCGATTATTCGCAAATGGAAGAAACACAAAATAACTGTCAATCTCCCTCGGCCTGTAGCTCCATCCAAGATCTCACCTCGTGGAGTTGCAATAATCATGAGAACGGTGAGGAATCAGCCCAGAACTACATGGGAGGATCTTGTCAATGATCTCAAGGCAGCTGGGACCATAGTCACCAAGAAAACAATTGGTAACACATTACGCCGTGAAGGACTGAAATCTTGCAGCGCCCGCAAGGTCCCCCTGCTCAAGAAAGCACATATACATCCCCGTCTGAAGTTTGCCAATGAACATTTGCTCTTTGGCATCAACTTAACTCGCCGTGTTTGGAGGCGGAGGAATGCTGCCTATGACCCCAAGAACACCATCCCCACCGTCAAACATGGAGGTGGAAACATTATGCTTTGGGGGTGTTTTTCTGCTAAGGGGACAGGACAACTTCACCGCATCAAAGGGACAATGGACGGGGCCATGTACCATCAAATCTTGGGTGAGAACCTCCTTCCCTCAGCCAGGGCTTTGAAAATGGGTCGTGGATGGGTATTCCAGCATGACAATGACCCAAAACACACGGCCAAGGCAACAAAGGAGTGGCTCAAGAAGAAGCACATTATGGTCCTGGAGTGGCCTAGCCAGTCTCCAGACCTTAATCCCATAGAAAATCGGTGGAGGGAGCTGAAGGTTCGAGTTGCCAAACGTCAGCCTCGAAACCTTAATGACTTGGAGAAGATCTGCAAAGAAGAGTGGGACAAAATCCCTCCTGAGATGTGTACAAACCTGGTGGCCAACTACAAGAAGCGTCTAACCTCTGTGATTGCCAACAAGGGTTTTGCCACCAAGTACTAAGTCATGTGTTGCAGAGGGGTCAAGTACTTATTTCCCTCATTAAATTGCAAATCAATTTATAACATTTTTGACATGCGTTTTTTTGGATTTTGTTGTTGTTATTCTGTCTCTCACTGTTCAAATAAACCTACCATTAAAATTATAGACTGATCATTTCTTTGTCAGTGGGCAAACGTACAAAATCATCAGGGGATCAAATACTCTTTTTCCTTCACTGTATGTACACACAGTGTCGTCGCACGGATGTGTCCCCAAGAGGGGCATCTCATACCGATGGGGGTGGCTCAGAGTGGGGTCCGGGGAGCGGGGTCATCATGGCCGTGTCGGAGGCGAGGCGCAGAGCCGGCACCGCCAAGGAGCCGGGGTTCGATTCCCGGAGGGCCCAGAAAAAAATCCATGCGGCCACGGGGAGAGAGAGACACGCAAACGTCAAATATACAGCAGCAGGCGTCAGGGACGGGATCGAACCCACGACCTCCTGTGTAGTTAACATCTCCTAGCCACCGTGATGATGATGATGATGAGAGAGAGACACGCAAACTCCAAATACACAGCGGCAGGCGTCAGGGTCGGGATCGAACCCACGACCTCCTGTGCACCGAGCGAGGTAGTCAACATCTTTTAGCCACCGCCGCTCTGTGATGAAACCGGGGAGCTGGAGTGGAGCGAGTTGATGAGGCTTGGCACACAAGTCACCAAGGAGGGTATAATTGCGTCTTGAGCGTGTAGTCCCTCTCTGAGGAGTCAACAAAACACGGGCTTACTGTGCCATGCTGATGATACCACAGCGTCGTGTTTGTTTTTTTGGCTCGTCAGTGCAACGACCTAAAGTGGCATTTTTATCGCTGTGCGCCGCTCTCCTCTTCCTCGATCATTAACCGAGAGAGAGAGAGAGGGCCGAGTCCTCGATCATTAACCGAGAGAGAGAGAGGGCCGAGTCCTCGATCATTAACCGAGAGAGAGAGAGAGAGGGCCGAGTCCTCGATCATTAACCGAGAGAGAGAGAGGGCTGAGTCCTCGATCATTAACCGAGAGAGAGAGAGGGCTGAGTCCTCGATCATTAACCGAGAGAGAGAGAGGGCCGAGTCCTCGATCATTAACCGAGAGAGAGAGAGAGAGGGCCGAGTCCTCGATCATTAACCGAGAGAGAGAGAGGGCTGAGTCCTCGATCATTAACCGAGAGAGAGAGAGGGCCGAGTCCTCGATCATTAACCGAGAGAGAGAGAGGGCCGAGCTGGGCGATCAAGCGCGCTCGCCACGAATGCGGCGAGCGAGCCGAATGTCCTTGGGCATGATGGTGACGCGCTTGGCGTGGATGGCGCACAGGTTGGTGTCCTCGAAGAGCGCAGCAAGGCACGCCTCGCTGGCCTCCTGCAGAGCCTTGACAGCGGAGCTCTGGAAGCGCAGGTCGGTCTTGAAGTCCTGCGCGATCTCCCTGACGAGGCGCTGGAAGGGCAGTTTGCGGGTGAGCAACTCGGTGGACTTCTGGTAGCGGCGGATCTCGCGCAGAGCGACGGTGCCGGGCCTGTAGCGGTGAGGCTTCTTGACGCCGCCCGTGGCCAGAGCGCTCTTTCGGGCTGCCTTGGTGGCGAGCTGCTTGCGGGGAGCCTTGCCGCCCGTGGACTTGCGAGCCGTCTGCTTGGTGCGAGCCATCTGCTTGGTGAGAGACCGAGAGAGTGAGAGACAATATTTTTACTTGTTCGAGGGGATTGTGTCACCGTCCGCGGAAGTTATCCGAATTGTCGCGTCCACTTCGTTGTGTTTTGGCCGCGTCAAGGAAGCGGTTGCAGGCGGTAAAGCACTAAAAAGTGTTGTCGCTCCACGTACCCCCCCCCACCCGCCCCCCATCACTCTCACCCCACTGGGGGTGATGCCACCTCCCAGCGGGCATTCTCTGACACACGGTGGTACACTGCTCTCTGCCAGGGTCTCCCCCACCCACCCACCCATTGGAATTTCTTCGGCGCATCGTTTGCTGTCCCCCCCCCCCCCCCCCCCGGGGCACCTCCAATCAGCACGGTTGGCTGCGTACGGTGCGATAGAAGTTCAAAGCGCATCGTATCGCACAACGCCGTCATATATCGCACGCTCGCAGTCATTGGAAGAACGCGATCAGACGATTCGAGGGAAATAAAATTGCCACGCACGAGAATCACGTGACGACGGCGGCCGCGTGAAAGCCATCACGTGGCTCCTCTCTCGGGGTCTACCCCACCCCCCCCCCAATCGGGGTCGCTCACAGTGGAGGCGGGGGGGGGGGTACAAAAGAAGACCCCCAACATAACGCGACGTCACCGCGGTTTCGTTTGCCGTCGCTCGTGAATCATGCCGCCCGGCGTTGCACTGCACCGTCTCCCGACGTGACACGGTGCCCCAGACCTTCCCCGGGTCGAATCGCTTGAAGGGGCGGTCGTGGGGGGGGGGGGAAGAGACGGATCGGGAAGAAGTGGGGGTTGCCCCCCCCCTCCTCCTCCTCTATTTTTTTCCTCTCCCCCCCCCCCCGAGGGGGCGGGGGGGGGGGTTGCGCTTCCCTCCTCGCCCGTCGCAACACGTTCCGCAGTGTACGCACGTTGAACTTCTTTCGCACCGTGCGTAGCCAGCCCATGCTAATTGGAGATAAGTAAAGTACAAAGTCATAATAATAATAATAATTCGCACCGTTTTGTGAAGCGCGTCTCACCCAGACGTCGCAAGGCGCTGCACAGAGCTAACAACAACAACAACGTTCAATAACTCGCCTAATTCTGTAAGCAGGCGGGCTCGTGAGGTTACCACGGACACAACTACCCCCCTCGGCACACTCCCAACACACAGAACGGAATTCACCCAAGGCCTCATGGCGGGTTATAGCAGCATGCCAGTAGAACGAAAATCTGAACATTAAAACTTAGAGGAAAACCACCACCCATTAAACGGATCCGCAAGAGAAAATAAACGTGGCTTCAGACGAGCCCTACAAACCTCGACTCTTGGTCGAGGTTGAGGAGGGGGATTATGAGGATGAAGAAGAAGAGGATGATGGATGAGGAGGATGGAGGATAGACGAGAAGGATGAGGAGCAGGAGGAGGATGATGAGGAGGATGAGGAGGAGGATGATGAGGAGGAAGAGGATGAGGAGGAGGATGATGAGGAGGAGGATGATGTGGATGATGATGAGAAGGATTATGAGGAGGATGAGGATGATGAGGAGGATGATGAGGAGGAGGATGAGGAGAAGGATGATGAGGATGATGAGGAGGATGATGAGGAGGATGATGATGAGGATGAGGAGGAGGATGATGAGGAGGAGGAGGATGATGTGGATGATGATGAGAAGGATTATGAGGAGGATGAAGATGATGAGGAGGATGATGAGGAGGAGGATGAGGAGAAGGATGATGAGGATGATGAGGAGGATGATGAGGAGGGTGAGGAGGGTGATGATGACGAGGAGGATGATGAGGAGGATGATGAGGATGAGGAGGAGGATGATGAGGAGGATGATGAGGCGGATGATGAGGATGATGAGGATGAGGAGGATGGAGGAGGATGAGGAGGAGGATGATGATGAGGAGGAGGGAGGAGGCCCCTCTCCCAAATGACGCGTTGGGCACGGTCGCCGAGAGCCTGCGGCGTGCGATGGAGCTGCAGGTGGAGGGGGCCGGGCAGAACGGCAGCGCCAGACGCGGGGGTTGCGGTTCGGGCCATGGGGCACCGTGGGGGGGGGGGGTCGTGTTTGGGACTAGACGGCCCCTTAGTTTGATGGGGTTAGCGGGAAAGGTTTTCGTCTCGTTGGCTCGTGGATTGCGAGTTCGGGGGGGGGTGGCTGTTGGTTGCGTTGTGGGCTCGTGTGGCGGTCGAGGTGGAAGCCGGCGAGTGAGTTTGGGGTCGTGGGTGACTGGTTGCTTATTTTTGGGTCGGAGAGCAGCGAGTGTCGGGTTGCTTTTAGTCTGGTGAGGATGTTGACCATCGGGTCCAGTTGCCTCGTTTAGTCAGGGTTATGGTTGGGCCAGTTGGCTTGTTCAATGCTAGAGACTCGATTGGACTACTGTGGTTCGGCTTATGCTCATGGAATATTTGTAAAATTGGTGTTGCATCACGGCGGGGGCGGGGGGCATTTTTTTTGAGGGTCGTCGCAGTCCACGCTTCGACCGCCGACCGATGTGAGCGTAAGTTGCCGCTGGACTTTACTCACCAAGAAGGGATGACGAGTCCACAAAGTGACTCCACAGCCGTCTCCTCCCTGAAACTCAGCTCTCTGTCTATCTCGCGATCGCTCGGAGGCCGTCTGGAGATGCCACGAAGTCGAACCATCGGATGCGAGGGAGTCGCCTTGAGCATCGCGATTTTGAAGGACCGCTGCCGATTTAAATCGGCTGGAAGCGGTGTCCAGTGTCTCTGCACAATAACAACAACAACATTGGCAAAACACACCACTGGTCAGCTTTTCAATTTGATGCCCCGACTTAAACGTTTCTGGGACCAAATGCGGTTTAAGCCGTTCACGATTCCTGAGGGCAGGGCGATCTGGCGCATGCCACGAGGGGTCCACATCGGCCATCCGTGGTCTGTATGGATCCCAGGAAGAGGAATTCCCCCCGCTGCTTCGACGGCGTTTGCTGTCATTAATGATGCAGTTAAAGTCGCAACCGCGAACGTGCAGGGAATGTTTGCTGCGCTTTATTTATGTTTTAGACAGACTCATGGCCCATGCTTCAAGTTGTTGAAGCATGGGCCACAACGTGTTGAATCGGAATTTAATATATATTTATGTAAAGTGGCCCATGAGTCTGGAATCATGGGGGGAAGGGGGAAGGGGGAAACGAATTAATATTTTTTTGTTTGTTTCTGCAGGCCCAAGATGTCTCTGAGTAAGAAGGACGAACGAGTCCAGGAGTCAGAGGGAGGTCGCTGTTGAATGTAACAGACTCATCCAGACCGCGAGCCAACAACACAGAGCTGGGTCTTTCCTATAATTCCAGACTCATGGGGCATCCCTGTACAGTGAGGGAAAAAAGTATTTGATCCCCTGCTGATTTTGTACGTTTTCCCACTGACAAAGAAATGATCAGTCTATAATTTTAATGGTAGGTTTATTTGAACAGTGAGAGACAGAATAACAACAAAAAAATCCAGAAGAACGCATGTCAAAAATGTTATAAATTGATTTGCATTGTAATGATGGAAATAAGTATTTGACCCCTCTGCAAAACATGACTTAGTACTTGTTGGCAAAACCCTTGTTGGCAATCACAGAGGTCAGACGTTTCTTGTAGTTGGCCACCAGGTTTGCACACATCTCAGGAGGGATTTTGTCCCACTCCTCTTTGCAGATCTTCTCCAAGTCATTAAGGTTTCGAGGCTGACGTTTGGCAACTCGAACCTTCAGCTCCCTCCACAGATTTTCTATGGGATTAAGGTCTGGAGACTGGCTAGGCCACTCCAGGACCTTAATGTGCTTCTTCTTGAGCGACTCCTTTGTTGCCTTGGCCGTGTGTTTTGGGTCATTGTCACGCTGGAATACCCATCCACGACCCATTTTCAATGCCCTGGCTGAGGGAAGGAGGTTCTCACCCAAGATTTGACGGTACATGGCCCCGTCCATCATCCCTTTGATGCGGTGAAGTTGTCCTGTCCCCTTAGCAGAAAAACACCCCCAAAGCTTAATGTTTCCACCTCCATGTTTGACGGTGGGGATGGTGTTCTTGGGGTCATAGGCAGCATTCCTCCTCCAAACACGGCGAGTTGAGTTGATGCCAAAGAGCTCCATTTTGGTCTCATCTGACCACAACACTTTCACCCAGTTGTCCTCTGAATCATTTAGATGTCCATTGGCAAACTTCAGACGGGCGTGTATATGTGCTTTTTTGAGCAGGGGGACCTTGCGGGCGTTGCATGATTTCAGTCCTTCACAGCGTAGTGTGTTACCAATTGTTTTCTTGGTGACTATGGTCCCAGCCGCCTTGAGATCATTGACAAGATCCTCCAGTGTAGTTCTGGGCTGATTCCTCACCGTTCTCATGATCATTGCAACTCCACGAGGTGAGATCTTGCATGGAGCCCCAGGCCGAGGGAGATTGACAGTTCTTTTGTGTTTCTTCCATTTGCGAATAATCGCACCAACTGTTGTCACCTTCTCACCGAGCTGCTTGGCAATGGTCTTGTAGCCCATTCCAGACTTGTGTAGGTCTACAATCTTGCCCCTGACATCCTTGGAGAGGTCTTTGGTCTTGGCCATGGTGGAGAGTTTGGAATCTGATTGGTTGATTGCTTCTGTGGACAGTGTCTTTTATACAGGTAACAAGCTGAGATTAGGAGCACTCCCTTTAAGAGTGTGCTCCTAATCTCAGCTCGTTACCTGTATAAAAGATACCTGGGAACCAGAAATCTTTCTGATTGAGAGGGGGTCAAATACTTATTTCCCTCATTAAAATGCAAATCAATTTATAACATTTTTGACATGCGTTTTTCTGGATTTTTTGTTGTTGTTATTCTGTCTCTCACTGTTCAAATAAACCTACCATTTAAATTATAGACTGATACTTTCTTTGTCAGTGGGCAAACGTACAAAATCAGCAGGGGATCAAATACTTTTTTCCCTCACTGTATATATACACACACACACACAAAGGTTTGAAAGTTACATTCACGTTCGCTGCGATAGCTCGCCAGTGATGCCACTACATTGCTATTTGCAA